TGGTGGGGGCATTTCCTGAGGGAGTGGGGGGTATTGGGTGGAGGAGGGCAAAGGGGGAAAAATCAGGACAACTATAATAGCATAATCAATAAAACATAATTTAAAAAAACTTACAGGGTGTGGCAAGAGTAGATTTACGGATGTGAATATGCAAAACAGAGTTCATTCTTATATATTAGTTATTGTATTATTTTCCACACAAGTAACTGTCTTGGGTGACTACACCCTATAGTAACTTACATATCTTTAATATAAAATTTCCAAAGTCAATGCGTCTTCAAATGTGTCAGCAAATATGCAGTGTATTACTCAACTCTAAGCCGAAAATTCGTGTTCAGGTTCGTAGCCATCGACGGTTTTTGTAATCCCATTGTGATTCAAATTCCCTGGCTCTTACCTCACAGGTGCCTTACTGGCAACTGACAGGAAACATCACTGTGTCGGTTAGATTGGGGACTAGGGGGCAAGGTGGGAGAGGACTGATTAAGGGAGTTGATTCACCTGTGACTCACGCAAAACTATACACTCACTTTGTCAGTACACTTTTGGCCCATTTAGATGAGAATTAAGAGTCTTGATTTGTAGGGCTCCTTAACCCCTGGGATTACACCGCGGGCCCCCATTGTGGCGAATTCTTGGCACAGACCACCACAGTTGAGAAAGAGCAATCAGCCCAAGTCTATCAGGCACTGGGGGCTTCAAGTTCAGGATAACTGACACCCCATTTCAGTGTATGTATTTGGGTGGGGTCTCAAGTCAGTTCGCCAACTACACTATCCCGCAAAACACCCACTCACAAATTTCCTCTCTCTCCCCACGTGGATAGTGACGGGAAAAGGCTGGAAGGCTGGATAAGAATCATAATTCACAGAGAACGTTAGCCCCTGAGAATCAAAGGAGGAAATGGAAGTGGCTTTAGCAGAAAGTGTTGCAGAACAGAGTAAAGCGAAATGAAACTGCCTGCCGCCTAACTCGCCGTCCCTGCAGGAAGAGGCAATCCTGACACCCCGTTAACGGATGCCCGGGGATGCGCAGAGCTCCCGTAGCCCCCAGGCTCTGCTCATTGCTCCGCACGACTGCCTTTCCAGTCCTCCCGCCTGAGCCTTTCTCCCACCTGTGGTCGAGGTGGACACGACCAGGGGACGTACACCCATCCGGACCAAGGAGCCACCCGAACCCCGGCAGGGATGAGCTGGCGGGGAAAGCCGCTAGCTGTGCTCGCTACGGGGATTGCGGGAGCGTTACCTCCGTTATTCTCATCTTCCGAGGACTGAGAGTCCCGTAACCCTCTCCGGGCCATAACCGGTGATGGCTGTTGCAAAGGTTGTTGTGAATGCTGCTGCTCAAGGAGGGCAGCCCTTCGCGTCTTCATCTCGCCCACTTCCTGGAGCTGCGGCTGCCTCCGCTGCCGAGAACGAAGATTATAGGCGCTTTCCCTCACTTCCTCTTTTACAGAATGGGACCGGAACTCTTCCATCTGGACTCGTTTCCCCGTCGGGGACTTGACTTTGGCCACTTCGGGTTCCGAGCCACCGTACACTTCCGGCGGCTCTTCCGAAAACCTCACTTCCCGCCGGCCTTGGCGCCACGGCGACGCAACTTCGTACGCAGGCGCGTCACTGCCGCCGCCATTTTGAGGGGCGAGCCGGCGCCTTGCCTCCCGCAGGGGGGGCCTAGGTGTGACGTACGCGCCCCATCCTATCACCGGCTCCGCCCTCCGCCCCTCGCCCGCCATAGTTGTTGTCGCAGCTTGAGTTTATCACGAAGATGATTTTGGCGGGGGCAGTACAGTCACTAACCGTTGGTAGCGATGGCTTTTCGGGGTTCTGAGCGGTGGTCAGGGGGGCAGTTGAGAATCGCTGGTGTTGCCGCCGCCGTCGTCGCTGCTGTGCTGCAAACCGGCCTCTGGGACCATGGTGTGTCCGAGAGCTGTAGGAGAGGCAGTGTCTGCGCTGGGTCAGCTGCTGAGGGTCACTCCCGCCTCCTGGCTGAAGGCACCAAAGAGGAGGAGAAGAGGGAGGAAGGCGTCGTCGTCTTCGGCTTTGGGAGAGGGAGGGAGGGGACAGCGGGGAAGGGACAGCTGGCTGGGCAAATTGCGTGTCCTGAACCCAGCTGCTCATGGCAACTGTTGCCTGCACGCCGGAGACGCCCGTGCCTGGCTCCCAGTGCCAAGTGTCTGGAGGGGCGGAGGATGACGGGGGCGGAGAGGTTTCGGTCCTCGTCCCCGGACTGTGGCGCAGTTTACCTGAAACCTGCTCCTAAGGGTTTCAGCCAAGGCTGAAAATGTTCCCGGCAGGAGGGATGATGATAACGGTACTTTTGCAGGTGTCATCTTTTCTTGGAGAACATTTTGGTTTCAGGCTCCTTAGGAGAGCAGTTAAATTCTAAGTCACCTGTTGAGAGTGTATACAGTCGAAACGGCAGGCATACTCGGGTGGCTTTACACTTGCGAAACGTGCGCATGGCAAAAGTGGTCATTCCTGGCTTTTGTATGAACGCTGTATTCCATCATCACTCTTCCAGAACCTTATTGCTGTTATGGACAAAGAAATGAACAAATACATTGATTAATTAAAGATAGTTGTAGTTTTAAGTTGTGATCCGTTATTTTTACTTTGTTTCTGGGCATGACTTGATATACTGCATTTGATTTAGGGTTTCCTGCGTTTAGTTTGCTGAATAAGAAGGCATGAATAAAAGCACTCTTTGTTTCATACCCATATACCATACTTACAGATGCAGAAAACCTGCAAATATCTAACCTAGTTTACATTGAAGGGGAATTTAGTGTCAAGTCTGAATACCGATTGTTACCTTCAGAATATACATACACTTAATCTTTTATAATCGATTCTTACGAAAAGATTTTAAAAATTATAATTTGGATGCAAATTAGAATGATTTCCAAGTTTTGAAGGTATTTTCTATCAAGTATTTTAAATCATTGTAGAGTGCTTTTGAGCAACTGTTCTAACAGCACAAATTTCAATTTAATGAAATCTTAACAGGTTCTGTGTTTTCATTGATAGGCCATATATTTGGCCACCTACACAAGGAATTGCATGCTCTAGGTTTTAGTTTGTTTAGTTTAGTTTACTATGTACAATGTAGCCAAAGAAACTGGAGGAACAGGCACATTGAGAAGAGGCTACTTTAAAAAAAAAAAAGGAAGAAGAGAAACCTTTTAAGGGAAAATTAAAAGGATAGTCTCCCTTGTCAGGCTGGGTTAGATATATGTTTGGAAAACATGTAGTTTGGAAAATTTATTTGTTTTAAGTAATGCTTTCTCTATAAGGTGCCTATTATATTACTCATTATGATATAATAGTATAAGCACTGTAATATAATTATTAAAGGATATAAAACTATGATATTAATATATAACATTCTATTATGAATATCAATGCATATATTAAAAGCCTCTTGAATACATTTACCAGGACAGGTGACTTTTGGATATAAATTTGTAAAACTTGGGTTGGGGGAACATATCAAAAAGAAGAGACAAGAGGTTCTACGTATTATCAACTAATCAGTACATGTGTTATTTCATCATTAAAAATGCTTGTAAAGCTTAGGAATAGCTTCCCAAAGAAATGAATCATTGGAATCAAAAGTAAAATCAGAGGCATGGTAACTTTAACAAATATTTGTTTAGGATTTTCCCCATTTCATCTAAGTAACAGGAATACAGAACCCTAGCTCTGCCATACCTGCCCCCCTCACCTAGCAACCCTCTCAAATACCACCTTTCATCATAACTGTGAGGTAATGCTAGGCCAATCACATGTTCTGCCGGGGATGTTTACCGAGCTACAGGTGTGTCCAAAACAGGTGGCATTACAGAGACAGCAGACTCTTTGCCAGTATTATAAAGGAATTGCTGGGTCGCCAACAGGAGACATGAGCTCTGGATGTTAGGCATTTGCTTTGGGAATTTGAAATAATAGAGTAATTCACTGAATCAAAGAAGAAGACAGGTAAGGAAAGAATGGTTATAACAATATACAGGGGTGTGCAAAAGTAGGTTTTCTGTTTTTATGGGAAGGCATTTAGGTTATGATTATTACAATAGCTTTATTAACTCAAAAGAATGTCATAATGGCACACTGCACTTAGGTACAGTCTTGTAAGTGCTCAAATTGCCCACATTCATTATTTATACATTCTTGTAGTTTTTGAAAATCAGTAGACAAACCTGAATTTCAGTGACCTGTTCAGTGGGGTTAGCTCTACTGCCTTCTGGTGTGGTTGAATTCAAACCTACTTTTACCCACCCCTGTACTCATTAATTCATATAGTTATTAAACATCTATGTTGGCACATAACAGATGTTTAATAACTACATGAATTAAATTAATGGCTGTATTCTTTATCCCTAGGGTATTAGGAAAGAGATACACAAAAACTATAATTCAGATTAAATGACTGCATTAATACGTCCTTTCCATTTTTCAGGTTTCACATTTATAAAATTAATAGATCCATATAGTAGCTGTTTTTATTCATCAACCACTATCACTTAGCAGACACGGTTAGTACATAATCTCTTTTACTCACAACAACCCCACTGGATAGGAGCAAACTGAGTTTGACCACACGCACCTCGTAACTGTAGAGGCCAGGTTCAAGTCGTTTGACTGGTGCTGGCCCCTATCATTGGGTAGTGCCTCTCGATGTGTCGGCTCCATGGGTTCTTTCAGCCTATGAATTAGGGGTCATTATAAGAGTTAGGGTCATATTGCAGAGATGCCCGTCTTTCCTGTCTGTCACACAGCAGCACAAGAATGCGGGCAGGCGTGTACTTCTGTTGGGTGGACTCACCACTGCCTGGCGCCGGCGGCTCACTGGGCAGTGGAGAAGGGGGGTAGGGGGCGGGTGTAAACCGAGGGGGCGGGGCAGAGCGACTACTAGTCCCAGCATTCCTCGGGCGCCTCCCCTCCCAGCAGAGGTCATCGTCACGTGGACAGAGACTGGGCGACATTCTCTTCGGCCGGCGTCCGAGAGGGTACCTCCTGGTTTCGTGGATCAGATCGGTGGGAGTGCTCCCTTGACATTGACCGTGGTCGATTTCAAACTCCACTGGAATTTGTAAGTACATAAAATCTGTATACAACTTTTTCATGTTTTAATATTTGATTTGATATCTTTTTGAAAAATCTTTCAGAAACAGTTTCTCCCCACCCCCACCCGCCTACCACAAAAACCTCAAAACGAAGCAGGTAGGGGGTATTTTTGTTTTGGAGTAAAAAGAGAAAGAGAAACAATTTTATAAATATTACAAAGGGCGAGGTGGGGTTAAATGTTTGGTTTGGACTTTGAAACGAGAAGCAGAATTCCCATGAGGTTCAAAGTGTAAACGGGAAATGTACCTGTGCAGGGCGGTTACTCCCTTTACTTCCGTATCTAACAAGATCCCGTTTTTTGTCTTCTTAATTCTTATTAGATGACAGTAACCCCCCACTCACTTTTTGTAATCTTAATGGCACTAAAAAGGGCAAAGTTTGAAGTTCTAGTAAGACCCTACAATCACCATTTTGCTTACAATTTGTCTTCCCAGTTGTATTTCGTAGCCGATGGAAAAGTTCACCCTCTTTTTCTCTCCTTCAAGAAAGTGTTTAGCACCTCCTTTTCTACCAGTAGCGCGTAATTGTTAGTCTTCATACTCAAATGCCGAAATGAATTGTCTTACCCTGATGCAACCTACTGGTTTTGCTTTCCGTTTTAACTCTCTTTAGGTTTTAAAACATTTTATTTTGGATCTATATGACAGATCCTTTTATCTTTTCTTTTTTTTTTTTTAAGAATTAGGGCTGTGGCAATTAAGCACATGTGTGGAATATGAATGGCTAGTGGAAAATCATTGAATTTAAAAAGGAACTTTATGGTAGAAGAACTAAAAATGTTCTTGAAAACCTTTGTGTGGATTAGAAATTGACACTTGCTATGAAAACTTTGAACGCCTCTTCCCAGCAGTGTTTATTACACTGAATGCAGAGTCCATAACTCGATAACCAGTTTTGCTGATAGGGAATCACGAAACCATGAGTGACTCATTCCAGTGCTATTTCACTCGGTTTCCCTCCTAGCGTAGAGACGGTACTACTAGGCCAAGAGTTTCTGTAATTCACAAATAAAGTAACAAGAATTTAGGTAACTATTTAAGGATTATAGGGTATTTTAATAATGTATTGTGTCTTGTATATATAACTTATTTTTTGCCTAAGAGGTTATTTTATACTGTATTCTTTGGGAATTCACATTTCTCTGAAGCATTGATTATGTGCTTAGACTTTGGAGTCACAGCTGAGTTGAAGTCCTGTTCTATCAACTGTGTGACCTGGGCAGGCTGCTTTCTCCCCGAGTCCATTTCCTCATCTGTATAGTGGAGATAGGCAGGGTTATTTGGAATCCTAAGAGGGATAGCATAGACTCAATAAATGGAAGATATTACTAATTGGGCTACTTTGCTCTTTACTACTATTATATTAAAGGAGTTGTTGGCACATTATTTTTATAAAATAGTATGGAAGAGAATGTACCTGTAATTCCACTACCTCAACAGATGAAATTGTTTTAATTTTTTAATTTCCCTTAGCCTTTGACCATAGGTATACCTGACCTATGACATAGGTATAGCTGACCTCATAACATATTTTTTTTTGTAACAATCTTATGAAAAGTCATATTTAAAACATTGGTTTGTTAACTTCTGAGGGTTTTGTTTTACTTATATAAATAGAGCTCTCTGGTCCTGTACTTTATTCTAACCTACTAGAGAAGATAGGACAGGACTTTCCTGTGGCACAGTTTTCCCTGCTTTCCCCATTCCAAAAAAACAAAGCCTCTAGTTGTACTTTTATTTAAAAATTCAAAGAGTAGTAAAAGCTCCTGAAGGCTTCTTTTGTGCCCCGTAGCTGTAAGTGCCACCCTTTCCCTCCGACCTTCGCAGTGCGACCTTCGCAGTGCCGGTTCCACCCAGGCACAGTCCTTCCTTGCGTCTGGGGGCGGGGAAAGAGAGTGAGGCAGAGAGAAGCGCTCCGTGGGCCACTGCTGGAGCAGGTGAGCCAGGCCCAGGCAGCCCGACCTGGGAGGACAGTGCTGCGAGGGGCTCGTATTTGTGCAGTCCTTAGGCCACACATACAGGCAGGAGTCGACCGGCGCTGACTTACAACCTCTTTCTGTGAAAGTGACGGGATTTGTACCTTGTAACTACTACTGTGGCCACCACATTTAAAAACATAATAGGAAAATAAGAATAGGGGAGTGTTTAGTATCTTAACAAATGAGGCATTCACCTATAGTTTTATTAGTTGTGGCAGTAAAAATATGATTTATACCCAAGTCATGAAAACTCATTTTTCACTTTTTTTATGAGGGATACACATAGTAACTGTAGGGTTTATAGTGAAGGAAAACTAGCTTTTCCTCCTTAAAACAGCATTTTGTAAATCACCTGGTGAGTCTGTTAACCTGTTAAAATGCAAATTCCTGCACCAGACCTTCAAAGATTCTGGTCTAGTGGGTCTGGGGTGGGGCCCAAGAACTTGTACTTCTAACCAGCTCACAAGTGATGCTTGTGGTTTCCAGCTGATGAGTTTAATAAAGAAGCCACCATTGGTGGCGGCTGTCTGAGCTGTGGGCCCAACGGTGAGACCACAGCGCAGTAAGTGCCCTGCTCGAAGTTTTTAAACAGAACCCTCCCACGAAAGGAGGCAGGATTTTTTTAGAGTAGTTGATTCCAGGGCTTGAGGCAGAGAAAACACGAGGTCAGACTGGAGCACCTTGTGGTGCTTGAAACTAAGGAAATGCTCACAAAAAGTTTGGGGGTTTGCTGGAACAAATTGAGCAACAAGATGAAAATGATAGTGGGGGATTTTAATGTATAGAATAAAGTAAAATAAGTATCCACAAGTCTAGGCTAACATAGTGGATTAAATAAATAGAGGAGAAGGCATAACTCTTTCTTACAGAAGAATTCCAATGAATAAACATGGAAAGCAGGAAATAGAAACTCACCATTAGGCAAACAATACTGTAACTCACTATTAGGCAAACAATACTGTAGTAATCACTGTGGACAAATCCACCTGTAAGGCTAGTGGGTGAAAGTTTGAGGAAAATCAGGATATTTGCTTAGTCTCCAAAGTATGTCCCCAAGATAATTATTAGGTAGAAAGGAAAAATGTAACTTAAGAGTTGGCGATACCATGTCAGCAGCCTATTGAGGTTCACATCCCTAGTGGGCGCCAGGAACCCAGCCAGAAGTTGCAGTTAGAAGGATGCGTCGTCATTTCTGTGGTGGTATTCTTGTCAAAAATGCATAACCTCTTGTTTCTGATCATGAGGAAACATTATACAAACCCAGATTGAGGGATGTTCTACCAAATAACTGGTCAGGGCTTTCAAACGTGTCGAGGTCGCACACCCCAGGGAAGGCCACCGAAGACAGGTAAAGTTGGAGAAACTCACCTTGCAGACTCGGGAATTAACAACCAAATGGAATGTGGGGTTGGACCCTGGAACAAAAGCAGGACATTAGTGGAGAAACAGATAAAATTTGAATAGTTTGTAGTTTAGTTAGTTATACCATTGTACCAGTGTTACTTTCTTGTGTTTTTATAATGGTACTGAAATTTTATGAAATGTGTTGACTTTAGGAGAAACTGGATAAAGGTATAGGGGAACCCTGCATATTTTTGCCACCTTTGAAATTACAGTCATGTGCCTCTTAATGACAGGGACACATTCTGAGCGGTACACCATTAGGCGATTTTGTCATGTGGACCTCACAGAGAACACTTATAGGAACCTACACGATACAGCCACAGCACACCTAGGCTACATGGTGTATATGGCCTGTTACTTCTATGCTGCAAAGCTTGTGTAGCATGTTTCTGCACTAAACAGCCTGAGGTTAAATCAAGCACAATAAATCATGATGCAATCAAGAGTCTTAGTAAAGATGAGATGTGTTACAGCAAACATTTCTTTATATGTAGAAAGAGTGCACTCTGAAATAAAGATTAAAAAGTGTAGTATAGTAAACACACAAACCGGTAACATACTGTTATGTACTGTATATAACTGTGCTTTACTTCTATACAATTGGCGGTACAGTTGGTTTGTTTACACCAGCATCACCACAAACACAGGACTAATGTTTTGGGCTTCAGTGGGTGACAGGGACTTTTCAGCTCTATTACAACCTTATGGGACCACAGGCCTATATGTGGTCCTGTGCGCAGTCCGTCGTTGACCTGAACATCATTACGTGGCTCATGACTGTAGTTCAAACTACAACGTTCAATAAAAATGTGTTGGAATGATGTAGACACTAAAGGTGGTTGGGGGAATGGAAGGCTTCCCACTGTGGGAAATCTTAGCAGATTCGTTGATCCTTTGTGCACTGCTTTTTGCCTCTACTGGTCAACCTAGACCCAAGATCCAAGTCAAGGGAGCTGGGAGGACTTAAGAAGGGAAGGAAGACTCTGTACTCAGAAAATATATACAGCATCTGGAAAACGGTGAAAATAATAATACTGGCATATTGTAACAGTGGACATAGTGAGAGGAAGTGGGCAAGACTTAGAAACTAGCTTTAAACACAGACACAAAGAGCTGGTACATGTACAGAAAAACCTAAGCTTGTTATTAGGTCTCCCTGTTTTAAGCTGCATATTAATGAAAGGTTTAGCAGCCCATGTTTTAAATCGAAACTGTAGACAGAATTTGAACTCTGGACTGTCAGGCCTTTAGGGCAAGGCAGATGGCAGTACACGAAAGCATTTCGAAGCCAGTATTCCCCTCTGTGGTATGCTAGCAATGCGTGCACACACCTGTTTTGTCAGTTCCTGGGGCGAGAGGAGAACATTCTGCAGCTGTTGCCTAAGCCAGGGTCATATTTTTCCCTTTGGCTTGTCTGTCCTTGGTAAGAGCGAACAGCCTGTGTACTAGATGCTGCTGGAGACTGTCATCCGGAGCCTTCTCCCGCCCGCAGGACTCAGCCCCGTTGGTAGCGGTGCTTCACAGCACTTAGGCCGAAGGCTTGTTTTCAGGAGTGTTCATTTTCATAATATATTTTGACATAGAATTTAGTTTATATGAATTTTAAAAGATGAGTGATTCCTTTTTTCATATCCCTTAATCCCCCATCATCTAAATTCCAAACTAGTTGTGAAATATGAAACTCAAAAAACTTCACTTTAGAGGTTTTGAAATTTAGAAAAACTGTCTTGTACCAGAAAAAAAAATCAACTTTTGATTATCAATTAGCCTTCCTATGGAAGAAAATATTTAAAATGGGAATTCAGGATTGTTTAAAGCACTTAAGTTCTTTCTGTGTGCCTGTCTTTGATTTTATATAGCTTATGAGGAGTTGGCTGAACTGAAGTGTAAGGGATACAGTTTTCTTGGAGAAATCACCAATCCTGACTCATTCCGAAACTTACATTATCCTACCGCCAAGAACAATAAGGGGTTAGTGTTGGTCTATCAAGGGTAGATTTCAATTTGCTTACTAATGTCTGTTTAAGAAATAGCAAAGAATGAAATATAATCAGAATATTAAAGGAGGTAAATTATTTAATATGTATTAAGCTGCCATCGTTAGTGTATGTAAATTTCAATGGATTAAATAAAACTGCATTTTCCACTTTGGTGTTAAAGTACTATTTTTCTAATCTTCTAATAAAGTTTCAGGAAGAATCTTAAATTTACGTTAGTTCTCACAGAAAAATCTGGTTTGAGTTTTTCTTTTGTGTAGTATTTGTGCAGTAGGAAAACCCTTTAAACTTTTGATTTTTGCCCACTGTTGTTGGTTAGGTTTGTTTGAAAATAAAGGCATTCCATAGCTTCTTGGGTGGGCCTTCCTAAATTCCCTAAGATCTCTCCAGTCTTTTTATATTCACGTAAAAACCCTCAGCTTTTACCTAAAATTGCTTCCAGTCTGGACACCCTGGTCAACTAGAAGTCCTGTAAGATTCTTCTCTCTATATCCATAGAACTTTACATTGGGCCTGGTACACAGTGGTTTCTTTAATAATTTAAACAATTATGTTTAATAATCAAGAGTAATGGCAGTTATAGATGTTTTCAGCATTTCTACAAGTCTTATGATCATAATCATATACTTGCCTCAAATCAGCTGCTTTTCACTTAATAGAGTTGAGGATGGAAGCACCTAATGGTTCTGAGCCATTTCAGATTCCTTTGGGAGTCTACAAGTACATAGTACTCTCTTTCCTGGGGAAAAAAAATGCATATGTGTACATAAAAAAATTATACGTAATTTCAGGAGGTTCGGGACTCCCTGAAATCTATCCTCAATCTTTTTGTGTGGAAGTGAAAAATTATGAGAGATTATTTCCCCCACATCCACCTCAATCAGTATAGATACACAATTGAAGAGTATTCTTTTAACTTTGCAAATAGTTTAGGAAGACTTTTTAAGCTCAATAGTCACTGCTTCAGAAAGGTGGTATTTTGTAGTGGCGAAGAGTACAGGCTCCAGAAGCATCTGCCTGGACTCAAATACCGATTTCTTTATGACCTGTGTGATCTTGGGCAAGTTGCTCAACCTCTCTGTTTCTTCAGATGGATTATTGTAAGGATTATGTGAGGTAATACATGTAAAGTGCTTTGAATAGATAGTGATACTTCATTTGAATGTTAGCTGTTGTCGCTAAGTATTATGCCACAGGCAGGATTATTGTTGAATACCTGGCCAGGTGAGGTTCTCTGGGCCGTCTCTTCCTGGATGGTACCCTGTGAGATATCCCCTCTGCAGATGTGTGCCTCGATGGAGGATGCCAAGATGAACTGTCTTTCCCACAGCAGCATTGGGTAGGCCTGTTTTACTTTACTCCTATGAAGGCAGTTGCTCACAATTTTATGAGAAAAACAAAGATGCAGACCCTCCCATAAGGCTCCTCTTTGCATCACTGTATCACTTGCCCACCACCCCCTTGTCCTCTGGGCAGAGGACTGCAGCTGCTCTCCTTGTTCACAGGTGAGAGTTGGGTTTTGCCTGTTAATCTCTTTTTCTAGCCTGTTGCTATTCTCACTCTTTTTAAATTATAAAAGATTGAATAGAGGTTATGTAACCTATTAGAATTTATGATTCAGTGGGGAAAAAATTGTCCTCTCCATTGCATCCCCTTCCCTCTCCACTTAAAGGTAATAATTATCCTTGTGCTTATCTCTTTCTTTTTAACTTTAAACAGTATATTGAAACTTTACGTAAATGGAATGCATGTGTATGGATTCTTTCTTTCTTTCAGCTCGATGTTCTATTCTTGAGTCTCATCTGTGTCTCCATGTACAGTATTCCACTGTATGGTGGTGCTTCCATTTATTTATCCATCCTGCTGTTCATGGACATTTGGGCTTATACACAGTACTACCATGAATAAATGTTTTTATTCATGTTTTTCAATGCACATTTCTCTGGAGTATAAAAGCGTAGAGTAGAAGTACTGAATTCTGAGAAATGACATCTTTGGCTTTGCTAGATAACACCAAATTAATTCCAAAGTAGGTACACCAGTTTATGCTCTTGTTGTTAGGGTCTGAGGATTCAGGATGCTATTTATTCATTCAGGAAGTATTTACTTGGGCATGCACAGCAGTAAATAGACAAAAAGTGCTAATCTTAGGAAGTTAATATTTCAGTAGGGGCTAATAACTGAGATAGTTAATACATCAAAACAGGACATGTTTTATAGGAAAAAATATCAAAACAAGGGGAGGAGATGTTATTTCACTGCTGTTAGAGTTACGGGGATTAGAGAAACAGGTGAACTGTGACTAGGAAGCTCTGGGCTTCATGTTGTAAGGACATAAAAAGACAGAGGTATGGTGAGATTGTTGGTCCTGATGCTTTCAAGCAGGTATTGGTAGTGGAGCTGTGAGTGGGGGGCGTGGAATTTGTGAATCTTACCAGGGGCATTTTTGGAGGCCCTCTTTGCTCATCCAGCAGTGATGTGAGGCTAAGGAGTGAGTGAGGGGGCTGGTCATTGTGGCTTTTACTCTGAGCCCTTAGTGCTCTGGGGCCCTCTTTGACTCCTGCCCAGAGATGATGATTTAAAGGACCAGGGTGCAGCGGTCTTGTCTGGAGCCTTTGGAATGCCGGTGTTCTTTTGATAAAGGAACACTTGGAGCTCTAATGCTTGCTTGACTCTTGAAGCTGGAGAAATGAAGGTTGGGGTAAGAGTATCTATTCTGAGCATTTGGGGCTAAGTTTAGGGCTTCCACTTGACCCTGACAATGGAGATGTCTGGGGGGAGGGGTGCTTTTGTCTAGTCTATAGGACCCCTGTTGTCAGACTTGTTCATTATTAAAATAGTCTCTTGTGGTATTAATTGAATTTTCATTTTTTTACTCTAAAAATTCTGTATCTTCTCAATGTCAGATTCAGTCATGTAACTTTACTGCTCATTTCTAAGTTAAACCCCACGATCATGTGGGTTTATTTGTCGTGTACAAGTTCCACTCACTAGACACCCAAGATTTCCCTGTACAGCTAAAACTTCTGATGGCTCTTGTCAGTACACCCTCAGGGAAGGCCATATGCCCTGTGGTCAGCACAGAGGTCACTGAGCCAGGGACCCCGCCATCTGTGTATTCTGCCTAAGGAGTTGAATTGGTAGCTCTCAGCTGTACATTGTTACCCAACCTCAAGGAACACACTGACACCTCTACACTGACGCTGTCTGCACCTCATCTGGGGCTTCTACCAAAATACTGACCCCATGCTGCAACCCTGTCGGAGGCTGCCCTTCAGCTGCCTTTTAAGCCTGCCATTTTAAAACCTGAGAGGTACAGCTACTGTTGATAGCCTGTAAGGAAAATGCTTTGACTACCACGACTAAGGCTGTGACTTCCTCTGCTACACAGGCCGCGTCTTCATACCATTTTAACGCCCGTGCCTTCCCCGTGTCCCTTAGCGCTCTCGCAGCATCAAGCCTCGAAATTCATAGAACAACACCGGAGAAAGTCAAGGTATGCCTTGTACTCTGATGATCTGTGGGACCCCCCTAGGTGGCTCTCTGGTTGTTCCATGTCCTACCTGCCTTGTTTCCTTGTTACATCCATTCCATCAAGGACTGCAAAGGTGATGATAACATCTGCAAATTCCAACCGACTCAGCATGTTTTCTGAGAACTGCTCTGGATTGTGCCTTTACCTGCCCTCTGAAACCTACAGTATGCACAGCCCTGTTAGAATAGATGGGGGCAAGGAGACTTGCCCCTCCTGGTTTCTTTTTCAGCCTTCAAAAGGATTCCATCCAACTTCCTGTTGTTGCCTAGTAAGAATATTATTTGATAATTTTGTAAGCTTTTTCCTGGGTGGATGGACGTCTATTATAGAAAGGCTGACACCATTGTTACCATTCTCCCACATGGTGGGAGAACCAGAGTTGGCACCCACTTCACAAAAGATATACAAGAAATCTCAAAGTTCTACCAGGTTAAACATGATTATACGGACCTGATTATTCCCAGAGTAGAAAGGAGTACAAAAAGGAAACAGTCCTTTAAAAAAAAATTACACTAGTACAAATCTTAAATGAACCAAAACCCTTTCCTGTGCCCAAGTAAGCATGAGCATAACCCCCAGCAGATACACTGTGTGAACCCAAATGCTTTCCAAGTGCATGTTTATAATAATATTGTGAGCAACTCAAAACCTATTATGAGTCGTCTGAAGTGTTATCATTTACAGGTGTGTGAAGCATTCCCAGACCCTCCAGCCAACTCAGCGTCAGCTACTTCTCTGACGGGGTCCTGAGTAAGGTCCTTCCAAGAAAGACCTCACTGGATCCACGTTCAAGAGGACTCTCCCTGCATTTCCTGACCCCCTACATCGATATAAAGTGCCAAGACCTTAAGACTTGGGTACGTGAATCACAGCGGCAGGAGTGCCAGCGCCCACAAAGAGCCGTTGGACTTGTCAGCTTCTCTCTCTGACCAAGCAGACCTAATAGCTGACCGGCAAAGCAGAGTGGGCCAAGTGCCTCTGCCTGCGATCATCAGCTGACTAACGCACAAGGAAAAGTAACTAATTTAGCTGGGATTAGAAGGAGCTATTCTGAGATCTGTGCTCCTAGCAAGTGACTGAATACGTTAGAGACCAGATCAGTCGCTGAGCTGAGAAACTGAGTTGTGATTGAGTGAAAAACAGACAACGAAGTCTTGAAGAATTGCACGGAGGTGCAAGCCAAATTTAACTCTCTCCAAGTAGTATTAGTCGGACTGAGAAATTGCTAAACCACACCTGTGCTAGGACGTGATTTGGGTGTCTTTGTCACTGTTTTCTCTTACTGTTGCTCTGCTTTCTGTTACCGCTGGAGCCCGAGATGTTCTCAGATAATTCCCATTGCCCCGACTGTGGACAACAATGGTTCCCCAGTTTAGAACTGGGCCATTGGTTGTACCAAACTGAGCTTATTGAAAATGAATGTTACCAGGTATTCTTGGACCGTATTAACAGGGCTGATTATTGCCCTGAGTGTTATCCCGATAATCCTGCTAATAGAAGCCTTGTTCTTCCTTGGTCTTTCCCACTTGAGTGGGCTCCTCAAAATCTTACCAGGTGGACCTTTGAAAAAGCTTGCCACCCATTTCTTCTGGGTCCTCCACTGGTTAGAAAAAGGATACATGACTCTAGAATTGCTGGTTTTAACCCTGCATTACAGTTGATTTTGACCAGAACCGACACGACCTTAAACAAGAAACTTGGCCAAAGCAAGTAACTTCTTAAACCAGTTAAAATCATGGCAAGTCTAGAGGGTTTTGTACTAGTAACCCAAGGAAGATGAAAAAAATGAGTCCTTTTAAATCTGGTCCATGTGGTCACTACTTTGGGGAACTACTTAAATCATTGGCTCTGTTACCATGGTCTACACCTATTTTGTTCGGCATGAGTTTAATCAGTGTTGCAGCCAGACTGTTCATCCAGAACCAGACTGTTTCATGCTCCCTGTGTTTTGGAATTAGCTGACCCCTCCTAAAAAGCCCCACAGCCTAATCATTGACATACAACAAGGTAGTGCTGGAGGAGATGCCCCTGTGTCCACCAGAACAATATTTCTAGTGATGACTTCTGTGGCAAAGCATCTTCATTGTAGCTGGATTCTAGGTTATTTTGGTAAAAGAACTATGTGTTTTAATAAGACACTACATTATTCTAAACCCCGCTTCTTCATTAATCAGCAATTTTATGTGTGTGTGTGTGTATATATATATCTATAATTTATTCATATATAACCATGTATTCATCCTTGCCTCAGTTTGGCCTCAGTGTGGCATCAACATTATTGATACCTGGTCCCTTAGAGTAGTCACATTCTACCAGGCAGTACCTGATAGGGACACACAAAGACATGCAGAAATGCCACTATCTACACTGACTTGGCTCTGGATAAACAAAGTCTGTCCTGTCTTTGTGGTGACTGAACTTAAAGTGTCCTACCCAGGAAATGGAAAAGTAACAAAAGGAGTTATTGAGCTCGGCTCCATATACCTTAGGAGCAGTCTAAGGGAGGCATCTTTCTTAAAACTAAGACGGTCTTGCTAGACTCAGCCACATTCTGGCCTTTATTTGTTTCTGAGAACCTCAGAACCAGAGTTCGGGTTAAGAAACTTAGGAAGAAATGGTTGAAAACATCTCAGAGGCCACCGAACAAGTTTAAAATTCCACTTAAGATGCTAGATAACTAAGCAGTGCTTGTGTAGCAACTCAACAATGTTCTCAAGGTCCCAGGTTCTTTCTGTTTACCCCTCTGGGCTCCTTATCGCACTGGCTTTTGTCCTTGGTGTCTTCTGTGATTGGAATGTGGCTTGTTGCCGCTTCAGGCATTTCAGTCCCAGAGGCTGGAAGTAGGGGGGAGCAAAAAGGTTTCTCCTTTCAAGACCCTGTCTTATTGGCAAGAAAATCTCAAAGGTCCCTCACCGATTTCTTCATACATCTCATTAGAAGGTACTGGTTCACAAAAGGGCCTGGGAAGCCAGGCAGAGGGGAATGGGGCTAGCAGTGCCTGGGTGAGGCCCACCGTCTCCCCTAAGAAAAGGAGGGCACTTTTAGGGAGGAGTGAATGACTGTTTTTATGTAAGAAGTCCTGCCCGCCACCTGTTGTGAAACCTGAGGTGATGTGTTAGTCTGTATAAAGAATGTACCCCGGAGATCTGCCTGTATCTATTTGCCTTCTGTCTGTCCTGGTGCAAGTTCTCTCCTGCTAAGTTGCTGAATAAACTGTGTGGACTGCTGAACCGAGTGAAGTCTAGTAGTTTATCACAACCTTTGGTTAAGAACTCCTTCACCATCCTGAAGCTTGCTCCAGAGTGTGAGCATGTGCTTTGAGGTACTGCTTTTGAGGATGGTATTAGGTTCAACATGATTGTCCCCTGAATATTTTCAGATATATACTGAGAAACACTCCATATATGTGAAATTATAGTTATCAGCAAAATAGAGGAAAAGTCTTGTGTTTTAACCAATCTTTCCTTTTAGTACTAAAGATAAGTTAGACAGATTTATGCCATTGATTTTGAGATCAGTACCTGGATGAGCTTGTCAGAAATGGGGAATTTCTTGACCTTACAGAAATTACGATTTCTGAGCTGCTCACAGGGCCCAGGAATCTCCATTTATAAATAGTGCCTTAGGAGACCTGTGCAGGTGCTCTGTGGGCTGTACTTGGAGAGACACAACAGCAGCATAGGCATGGTGTTTCATTACTGATTTAAAAGCATGGGAATTGAGTGCTCATAAAGCTGCAAGGTAGTGACTGTTATTGTACCTTGCTGGTGACACGATTCCCCATCAGACTGAAGGTCACTTGATATTTCAGGTTACAACTCAGTCACACTTTTTCTCATTAATTAAAATGATTGCACTAATGTAGCCCTCGTTACAAACAGTTCTAGTTCTGTAAGGTATCGGTATACACAAAAGAATAAGAAAACTAATTTTAATATTACATTAAAAGGGGTACTTTGCGCTCAGATGTAGTTACCTGCTATATGGTTCACTCCCAGAAATAATGTGTGGGAGAGTTCATAAAATTGAGCAAGGGAGGAAATTTAGAAAGCTTTGTAGCTTTTCAGCTTAGGTCATTTCAGTAAGACAACACTTGGCTTAAAATATTGTAGACTATTCTAGAATACTCCAGAGTTAATGAATAATGAGTTTTAAAGTATAAGAATGTTCTTGAATTAATTCCTATGACAAATGCTCTGGAGGATCAACCACTCTCCTGGGTTATGTGAGCCACACCACTCTGCGCCTCCCTGCGGTGGAGGAGTTGGTAACACCACTTACATGTGATGGTGGACACTTACAAGATGACTTTTATAACTGCTTCCTGGTATTTGATGGCGGACCTGGGAGTGGAAGGTCAATGGAAACGTGCTGGGGCACATGGGGAAGAAAATGCCTCCTCGAGAGAAAGCTTCCTAGGTTGTGGGTGACCGGGTGAAGATTCATCTCTTGGTCACAGAAGAAGGAATCCCCCACAGGCAGGCAGTCCCAGGCAAAGGACTCCGTGGCACCCAAAGAGTACGTGGCCATCAGCAGGTCACAGGTATCTGTAGAGCGAGATGAGTCATACCCCCTCCGCTCTGCAGTCTCCCCTAGCAGCCCTTGGCTCTCCGTGGAATGACGGGCATGTCACTTGAAAACAGCTTGTTGTAGAGGAACCATGGAGGCCCTGCAACCCACTGACCTGGGCTTGTCTTCGAATGCTGACTGTTGAACAACCATGGGCAAGTTAACCTCTGTGTCCACTTTCTTCACCTGGAAGAGAGAAGGCATCGTCATAACCCACATATCATGACTGTTGTGAAGAGGAACTGAATTAATACATACAGTGCTTTGAAGGCGCTCAATAAACATTAGCAGTTATTGTCATTGTGTACGTTTTATGGGGTTTGTTTCCACCGCGGGATTATAATTGAGGGCCAAGGTAATCTGCAGCTTTTTATCTCTAGAGCCTAAAATGACATCGTTCATTAAAATAAGCTTTTAAAGCTAGAAGAAAAGACTTATGCTTGTTGGACTCTGACTGCCACGTTTGTCCTGATGGCATTTATGTCTAAACCGTCCATCCTCGCATATCCATCCGATTCTCGCACATTCTTCCCAGCTGCTGAACTTCTCATTTCCCTCTCCTTTTTAAAATATTTGCATTTTGGTGTTGTGGATACCAGTGCGTCCTGATACCTGCCTCTTCTCCAGGTCCCCTCCGGATCTCCATCCCCTCCCCCCCTGCTGCCTGGTCCCTTGGGCCAGGATGGAGCAGGGGTTGGGGAGGTCCTGCCACTTCCCAGCAGCTTTTCCTTTCCTGTCTCCCCCAGCTGGTTGTAACAAAACATACGGGGGCCTGTGGTTGGATGGTATCTCAGGAATGCAGGGCTCATAAAGTGACCACTGCAGGACTTTTCTTCTGATTCTTTTCCCCACAGAAGCCAATATATTTTATTTTAATTACTCATTTAAAAAATAACTATATTCAACATACAGAAAAATGCAGAAAATAACACCTATGTACCCAGGTCATGTGAAAATTTTGCCACATTTATCTGTTTTTTCTTTTAAGATACTTTAGAGATATAGTTGAATCCCATCCTTGAAGCAAGCACTAAGTGGAAGGTTATGTCATCCTTTCTATTCATTAATTTTATATATGCATTAAACTGTACAGGGCAATAAAGAGAATTGGATACTTTCAAGTTTTATTCATACCATTTTTATATGTATAAAAATATGTAATATGCATCAGTTTGAAGAGCACCCTTACATGTAGGTTGGAGCCCACTCAGTGCCCCTGACAGTGAACACCTGCCAGTTTGTCATAGCACCACCATTGGTCCGAGATGGAGCACGAAGGGTAGCCACATCTGCAGAGGAAGCAGTGAGGCAAATTTGTGTAGCTCTTTAGGGCAGTCCCAGGATATTGAAACCTCACTGCTCCAACCTGTCTCAGGCCCTCCTGGAGACAGTTAAAGCAAAACGATAAGTGTTCAGAATCACGGGGAAGTGGAAATGACTGCCAGTGATGAGCCTAAGATTCCCTAGTGGAAAAATGAATCTATTACTTCCACATACTGGCCACTGGAAACCAACATTTCACCATTGACCTTGAAAGGATTTCTTTAAACATAAATGTTTTTCTGCCACGAGAAGTACACAGGGTCTTCAGTTCATCTTTACAAAAGATGCCTTCCAAGGTGTCTGCTGGTGGACAGAAGTACAGAATGGTTTTTCCTACCACTGCAGAAAGTCTCCAATATCCCCATTTCCATTAGGATGAGGCTACGCCCTGCTTACATTACGCAGCCTGGAGGTTCTGAATGAGGACGCTTCCTGGTACGGATTAGACACATTCAAAAGACTGACGTGCTTCTGAAGTACTGGCCTCCAGATCTCCCAGATACCACAGCATAACATGTGACACATTACAAAGGGCCTGAATGCAAGGAGCTACAGGAATGGCCTGTGCCTTGAGGCGAGGAAGACATCTCAAGCATTTGTAAGATTATAGGAATACCTGTGGCAGTTCCTTTGAAGATTTTTTGAAGTACATTTTATTGATTATGCTATTATAGTTGTCCCATGTTTTTCTCCCCTATATTCCCCTCTGCTCAGTACCCTCATTTCCTCCAACATTCCTCCCCGCTTAGTTCATGTCCATGGGTCGTACATGCAAGTTCTTTGGCTTCTCCATTTCCTATGCTATTCTTAGCCTCTCCCTATTTTGTACCTACTGTTTATACTTATTATTTGCTGAACCGTCCCCTCCCCATTCTCCCCCTTCCCTCTCCCTGCTGATAACCCTTCATGTGATTCTCCATTTCTGTGATTCTGTTTTTGTTCTAGTTGTTTGTTTAGGGTTTTTTTAAGGTTCAGTTGTTGATAGTGGAGTTTGTTGTCATTTTACTGTTCGGTTTTGATCTTTTTCTTGGAGAAGTACCTTTAACATTTCATATAAGGGTTTGGTGATAATAAACTCCTTTAACTTGATCTTATCTGGGAGGCACTTTATCTGCCCTTCCATTCTAAATGATAGTTTTGCCGGATAGAGTAATTCTGGGTGCAGGTCCTTGCTTTTCATGACTTTGAATACTTCTTTCCAGCCCTTTCTTGCCTGCAAGTTTTCTTACGAGAAATCAGCTGATAGTCTTATGAAAACTCCTTTGTAGGTTACTGCCTTGCTGCTTTTAAGATTCTCCATCTTTAATCTTTGGCGTTTTAATTCTGATGTGTTTTAGTGTGGCTCTCTTTGGGTCCTACTTGTTTGGAAATGTGATCTTCCTGGACTTGTATGTCTATTTCCTTCGCCAGATTGGGGAAGTTTTCTCTCATTTTTTAAAATAAGTTTTCAATTTCTTGCTCTTCCTCTTCTCCTCCTGGCACCCCTGTGATTCGGACATTGGTACGTTTAAAGTTGTCCCAGAGGTTCCTAAGCCTCCCCTTGTTTTTTCAAATTCTTATTTCTTCATTTTGTTCCAGTTGAATGTTTATGTCTTCCTTTTGTTTCAAATTGTTGATTTGAGTCCCAGTTTCCTTCCCTTCACTGTTGGTCCCCTGAATATTTTTCTTTATTTCACTTTGTATAGCCTTCTCTTCTTCCTTTATTTTTGCAGCCATACTCAGTCATTTCTCTGAGCATCCTGATTACCAACCAGTATTTTGAACCCTGCATCTGATGGTTTGGCTATCTCCTCATCGCTTAGTAATTTTTCCAGAATTTTGATCTGGTCTTTTATTTGGGCCAAATTTCTTTGTCTTGGCACACCTGTTATGTTGTAAGGGGCAGATTCTTAGGTACGCACTAGGACAGGGCAACACACCCCACCACATTGTTGCGCTCTATGTGGGGGAGGGGTCAGAGAAGGAACAGTGCTGCTTGCATGGCTCTTGCCCTGCTTTTCAGTCACTCCCCCTGCTTCCCACAGGTGAATTGGGCCCTTTCTGGTGCTTCCTTGGTGCTGATTCTTGGGTGGGTGGGCTTATGTACATTCTAGGACCCCATGGGGCCCTCCAACAGACTCTCCTGAGAGACTGGCAGTTTCTCCCACCACAGCAACCCCCCCCCACACATTTTTATAGCCAGAGGTTTGGATGCCGTATTTTCCTGGTGCTGGAACCCTTGGCTGTGTGGTCTGTCTCGCTCCCCAGTTGCTCCTCACAGTTTTTATCTGAGCATGAATGTGGGACTTCCCAGTCCGCCAGCCACCACCTCTCTTTGTTCCTCTCCCCCTGGCTTCCCATCTCTACCCTTCCTACCAATCTAGATGAATATTTCTTCTTTAACTCCTTGGCTGTTGGACTTCCATACAGTTAGATTTCCTAGCAGTTCTGGTTGTTTCTTGTTTTTAAATTGGTTGTTATCCTTTTGGTTGTATGAGTAGGTAAAGCATATCTAGCTACACTTCCATTTTGGCCAGAAGCATGCAAATTATTTATTGGCTGCGACCTACAGTAAAACATTTTGTTACCAATTAATATATTTTGAAAACATTCCATTATAAAGCTTATTGAGGATATTCTACATGCAACAAAATGTAGGTTTTAAATTTGATGACAGTTGTAACCACGACCTCAATTAAACATATGAAACATTTTCTTGACCCCAAAATGTTTTCTCATGCCCTTTTCCAGTCAGTTCTTCTACCAGGAACAAACTGATCCAATTTTTGTCACATAGTTTGGAGGTCTATACTTACAGAAAGGAGGCCTGTCCCTAACTCTTCCTTTCCCTTCCTGTTGATAATTGGCACCACTCTTCATTCACTTGTTCATTCATATTATTTTCAGTTAAACTGTGGAGTTCTTGCTCTATACCAGGCACTGTGCTAGGCATTTGGGATCACTATTTTAATTTTTAAGATTACATTTTATAAAATTGTGCTGAGAAAGATACAAAGAAGGCTAGCCTGTCAAAATGTAACACTTTACAAAGCTCTTTCATATATATTTGTTATTTTATTGAGTTAAACTTGGTGTATAATATTATATAAGCTCCATACATACAACATTATGATTCAACATCTGTATACATGACAAAGTGATCACCACTAACGGTCTTGTTACCGTTCTTCACCATACAATTGCCCCCATGACCCTCTGGTAACCAACAATCTGTTCTTTGCATATGCTAGTTTTGTTTTTTGTTTGTTCATTTTTTTTTAGATTACATGTATGAGTCAAATGATATAGTATTTGTCTTTCTCCATCTGACTTATTTCACTTAGGTCTAGCCATGTTGTTGCATATAGCAGGATTTCATTCTTTTTTATGGCTGGGTAGTATTCCATTGTGTGTATGTACCACATCTCTATCCATTCATCCATTCATCCATTGATGGACACATAGGTTGTTTCCATATCATGGCTATAGTAAATAATTCTGCAATGAACAGAGGAGTGCCTGTATCTTTTCCAATTAGTGTTCTCATATTCTTTGGACAACCACCCAGAAGTGGAATTGCTGGATCATATGGTAGTTCTTAATTTTTTTGAGGATCACATATATTTTTGTTTTTAATCCTCATAGCAGTCTTTAATCATTTTTACAGATATTGAAGGCTAGGTAACTTCAGATAATATTGTTTTTGACAAAAAAATAAGATTTTGACTATAAAATGATATAATTGTTTTTATTGCTTATAAATTGCCTCTGCTTTTGATTCCTCTTATATGTAGTTCATAATTTATGTATCAGTCTTCTTTGAGTACTGCCTAAAAAGGCATTGTATAAAGGGTTACTTCTCTATATTTTCCAAAAGAATACCACTAAGATGGCGGTAATGGAACTCCGAATGTGTATTTCCTACTCCAGGTACCAGGCAATTATCTTAGTTTACAGGTCGCCCCCATGCAGGGTCACCTGTTAAGCATAAGCTCCGGACAGGCAAAGTCTGAGGAATGTGTATGGGACAGAAACTGAAGACATAAAGAACATCTGCAATGAGTAACTCAGCAGTGACTTAAATTTCTACTCTTAGAATTACTTTTTCCTTCAGTTTCATATATTCTCTGTAAGATTCTGGTCACTTGGTCTTATCCTTTCAGCCACACGGGGATGTATTAGGAGATTATGGCATTCAAAGTTAATTATCTGAAGTTTTTTTCTGTTTGTAGTCTAGAATACGGAATGTGATCCTCAAGAAAGGCAGGAAACATTTTTTTCTTCACTAGAAATCATTTAAGACAGGACACACTACTCATACTAAACAGATAAGTTGAAATTGGCATTTCTCCCATGTATGAATAAAAAGCCATTTACTTTTTTTTTGTTTCATTTTATTTTAGTGACTGTATATATGCCTTGTTTCCTGGGTCCAAGGGAAGCATGAGTCTGTTGGGACTTAGGATAAGGAGAAAACAAGACATCTTCACAAGGAAAACCAGACAGTAACAACAAATATCCCAAAGTCTGAAGAGACAGAAGACAAACATGGCGGACAGAGGACTTGGGGATCCTCCGGAGGGTAAGATGAGTTTGTGTCGCTCTGAGGTTGGTGCTGCAGGAAACTAGGGCTGAGCTGAGAGAAAATCTGAAGACTGACTAAAGCCTTCATGAAGCATGGAAGTAGAACAGAAATTAACTTAACTCATTAATTTTTTATAGTTATTCTTTCACATTTATTGAATTTACCATAATAGCAGACTTTAGTTGTAAGTATAATTAATGTTTCAGAAACTCTGATAGGGACCTGTACAGTATTGGAAAAATGCAATGACTCAGAAAAAGACTGTAGACAAGTCTTTATTTATCTAAAAAATCAAGATGGTTATAAAAATTAAGAAAACAGTGATGTGCTATATATTTAGAGGGGATTTTCAAGTTACAGGGAAAGTTGAAATTTAAATTCATGTGACATATGTATATACAGAGGATATATACAAAATAGGCAAAATATAAAGTAGATTTTCAGAAGAGAAGAATGTCATATTTATTTAAATCTTTTATTAAGAATGTTTTTTAAAAACATAAAAGAACAGGATCATGAACCCCCATGTACTCAACATCTAACTTCAACTATTATGTACATAATGTGGAACTTGTGGCCTGCCTTGGAATATTTAAATGTGAATCCAAGACATTACATTATTTTATTGGTGAACAGTTTTCTTCTCTTGAAAGTATATTTAAAAAACATAACCAAAATAGAATTATCTCACCTAAAAAAACTTAATAGTTATTCCTTAACTGGTTACATATCTAGTGAGTTACTCACCTCTAACCCAGTTGTCTCGATCACAGTTGGGTTGTATTTTTTTTCTCTTTTTGCACTAGGGTTACACACTGTATTTAATTGATGTATCTTTTAGATTGCTTAATTTTTTAAAGTTTTTTTTTTTTTAAAGATTTTATTTATTTATCTTTAGAGGGGAAGGGAAGGAGAGAGGGGAGAATCTTTGGTTCCTTCCCGGGAGGGCTAAAGTTTTATTACATAAAATTTCAAACATAAAAGTAGAGAGAGGGATGAAATGAATGTCATGGAGCCATCAAATGGCTTTATCTGCTGTCAACATATGGGTAATACTGTTTCATCTAGCCTACCTTCTCCTTTCCCCCATACCATTTAACTGCAGCAAATTCTATCTAGACCTATAATTTTAGCCATAAATACTGGAATACTTATCTCTAAAAGATGAGGATGCTTTTTAAAAAATACTACAATACCTTTATTGTTGTGAAAGGTGAACAAAAATTTCTCAGTACCATCAAATATCTGGCATTCAGATTTTCCTGATTATGTCATAAATATTCCTTTAACAATTGATTTCTTTGACACTGGATCTAAACAGTGTGTCCACACATTGCATTTGGTTGATGTGTCTCTGATGTCTCTCTTAATCAGCAGGCCACCTGTCCTTTTTTTCCTTTTCTTGACATTTATTTTTATTTCTTGCTGTTACTAAACAAACAGAGTCTTTTGTTCTTTGGAATGTCCCACATTCTGGATTTTACTGATTGCATTCCTGAGGCATAATTTAATACATTCCTCTATCCCTACACTTCTTGGAATCTGGTAGTTAGCTCTAGAAGCATGATCAGATTCAGGTTCAGTTGTTGTGCAGGAAGACTTCCCAGGTGGTATACTTCCTGTTGCACTGACTCAGGAGGCTAATGGTGGCTGATTTTTCCCTCTTTGTGTGATATTGATCAGCTGGTTCAGCAGTTGTCAGTCTGGTCATCCATTATAAAACTCCTCATTAGCTTTTTGTGGAATGGTTGTAGTCATTGTTGATGACAGTTACCTAGATCCATTATTTCATTAGGGAAGAGGATATTTTAATGCAAGCAAACATTGGTTCTGTCATTCAGAATAGTTTTACATTAGTATTATTTCTTAAATTCATTAACATAATAAAATTTGTTTTGTCTTAATCTCCTTTAGTGGATGTCAAGAGAAATAATGTTTAGGAAGAATGCCTTGTAAACCATAAAAATCTATATAAATGTTACTTACTATTTGGGTACCTTGTTAAAATACTAAAAAGGAATTTTTTTTTTAAATGATACATTTTTATCTCCGTAGACTCCCAAAAGGATTTGGAAAATAACTCATCAATAAATTCTCAGGCACAGGAGATGATGGTCACAGCAAGTACCACTGAAGAAGCTCATACCCTGAGTCCTGCCTCTGGCCTCAACAAAGACCCACAAGAGGTTGAAACAGTAGGTTCAGGAAGTACAGGTACAGCTGATCCATCAGAAAGTCCTGATGAAACAAATTGTGCGCAACACCCAAAGGATGAAACAGAACTTGAGACCAACCAGAGTTTTCAAGATGGCGAACAAGAGCATCAACTCTCTTCGGAAAGTCTGGGTGAAGAGCCCTTGCATCCAGAACCCAATTGTTCTCCAGGTGACGAGGCAGAAAGAGCAGATGCACCAATAGGGAGCAGCTCCTCGGACCTCCCTGAGGAAGTGAGCGGCAGACCCGGAGCTTCCCAGGGGTCACCTGCTGCAGACTCCCTGGGTGCCCAGAGTCTTGGTCCTTCCAGTGCAGGGCTGGAGAGCCAGGGGACACTGAGGAGGCGACTGGTGGAGCCAGGTGAGAGTGCCCACTGACCTTCTGTCCCGTGTTGTATTGATTGCTCTGCTACTGACAACACAGCAGAGGTCAGGGTCCTTTCCAGAGAACATCTCTTTCCTTGGGCCTCATCCAAGGTCACATAAAGAGATATGACTGAGTTGGAATTAGAATGAGGTTTCTTCTCTCCTGGACGAGCTCATTCCACTCCATTAAACAAACTGCATTTTTAAACAGTGGTTTCATTTATTTACTGATTGTATTAGTGTAGTATGATGGCAAAAAAAGGACATGACTTAAAAAATTCACCTCTGGCCTTTATTTCTCATGAGCATGTTTTCACTTAAAATTTTTTAAATCTTTTGTATTTTGGGAAACTAAATACTACAAAAATCAAGAGATGAGAAATTTAAAAACCAACATTTATGGTGTAAGTACCGTTAATGCAGTCATTTCAGTTTTATAGGACTTTGAGCAAATCAGTTAATTTCTCTCTAGCTGATTCCTAGTTCCCTCCCCCGACTTGTATATTAAGAACAAGCATCATATCTTCCCTTATGAAGAGACCACTTACAGTGTGCTAAGTTCTTATTGGAACTCAAGGGTCATGGATTCTAGTTGTGGCCTGGCCTTCCCCCTTGGGTAGGAAGGCCTACCTGTGGTCTTCCCCCTGTGGCCTTTCGCAAATCTCTTCGCTTCCTGTTATTGGAGTTTCCTACCTGTAGAATGAAGAAGTTGAACAAAATGGAATCCAGCTGGTCTCTTGTAGCTCTCACCTTCTGTGACTGCGTGTGTGGATTTGTATTTTCCAAAGACTCTGAAGAGCTCAGCCCGAAATGCCTATTTATCAGTGCAAAGGAATATAAAATGTAAGACACTCTGTTCCTCAGGGACCTAAGGGCTAGAAATTTATGTTTCACTATAAATCCATGACTGATCTCAAATATATGTTTCATTCATTAATCATTAGGATGGTCTGTAACTTCATTGAAGGCAGGGACTATGTCTCTCTCATTCATTGTGTTTCGTGGCACCTGGCACAGAGAAGCAACTCTATGAATATCTGTTAATTGAAAAAATGAATGAGAGCTATAATTTAATGAGACCATTAAATGCCATCAGAAAATTTCACCAGTGTGCAGGTTCACTGAGGGGAAGAAAATATTGTTTTAAAATGTAGTTTATTTGTGGGAAGCAACTTAATATAATGTAATGAACTAATCTAGGAGATGAGAAACCTTGTTCTAATCTCAGCCACATTTTCTCTGTGTGGCCTTGGGCAAAACCCTTAACTTCCTTGGACCTTTGGCCATAATAGGTAAGGTGGGAGGCCAGAGTGGGCGATGATTAAAGATTCTTTCAGTCCGGGGCAGTGATGGGGGGAAATGGAGACAACTGTACTTGAACAGTTTTAAAAAATGTGAAAAAAATATTTTAAAAACATCCTTTCAGTCCTTAAATTCTGTGATAGGATATTTTTTAAATCTTTTTTTTTTGGTGTGATATGACTAAATGAACTATCCTTTGCAAGTGAAGATGATTTTATTTCTTTACTTAATACAATATAATATTTGAGTTGTTTTTCCAGGAAGGTTTATGGGCAATGCTCAGCTTTCACTGTTGAGTGAGGTACCTTGCTGGGGTCAGGCACACCTCTACACTCTAGAGCAGGGGTGTCAAACTCATTTTCACCAGGGGCCACATCAGTCTTGTGGTTGCCTTCGAAGGGCCAAAATAATTTCAGGACTGTGTATATATAACTACTTAACAGTTAAGGAGTTGAAATTACATTCGGTCCCTTGAAGGCAACCACAGGCTGATGTGGCCCCTTGTGAAAATGAGTTTGACACCCCTGCCCTCGAGCGAAATACCTTAGAGTGCTACAAAGTTCTGTGCTCCTTTGTACCCTGCATTTTAAGATTGGTTTCTCACCCACAACTACATTTTTATATAGTTGATAAGCGTTCTTAACCTTGTAGCCCCTGCTGAGTCTACCTCCTTCACTAAGAGTTTCAGACTTGCTTTTGTAAGCTATTTTGCAACTGTACAGTAATCTCTCCCAGCTCTAAACTTAGTACCTCTGTTATTTGTGTACTTGGGGCCGAGGAGCCATGTGAGACTTGAGCACCGGAATTCGAGCATCACTGCCCTGTGATGCTGAGTGTTGTGTACAGCTGCCAGTTCTTAAATCACTTCTTAATTTTGTACATTTTTTGTTGACTTATATAGATAGGTTTGGCTGCAATATTAGGATCCTTGCTTCTTTGTCCCTGAAGTAAGGGCCAGTGAGGAATTATGTAAGTAGCAACAGTATCCTCAAAGGAATTTTATAGCACTGCATTTTATTCTTCTAGGCAGAATAAAATAGTGAACTTTAAGGAAAATACAGGAAAAAAGTTAGCCTTGTACAAAAGAAAATTTTACAAAGGCTAGAAATCCTCTCAGTCAAATAATTCTTTGGTTTGGTAAGAAGTGTAAAGGTATATACACTCTCATTAGTGTACAGTCCAAAAATAACATTCTTTTTTCCCCTCAGAAGCTGAAAGTCATCAACAAGAAACACACCCATTGGAAGAAAACAAAGAGAATGCACAGGGCGCCATCAGGAAGATTAATAACAAGGACTTTTTGAGCTACGGTGAGAACCCAGCTGGTCTTAGTATAGTGTTGATTCACATTCAGAAATCCTCATACTAGAAGACTTGCAGAGTTTAACAGCTTAATCGTGTTGGGTTTTTTTTGTTGTTTTTTTGTTTTTTTTTAGTTAGAAAGTAGGTAGCAGTAAGATAGCAGTAGAGCTTTAGGGGGCTTCCCTTTGGGGGTCCTGGCGGTGGTTCACCACCCTGAACGAAATGGGCATGCGCCACAGGAGGAAAGGCGATTCTAAACAAGAACCCAAACTGCCCGTTCAGTGACAATGAACTCCCAAGCCCCGTTGTTACAGCTTGACCGTTTAACAAGAAATGGCCTGTTGTAGGTAGTGTAGGTGCTCTGAGAAGGTAGACTATCCTGATAGTTCATTTCTGAATCATTTCTCTATCCTGTATTGCAGCAACAAAGATCTGAGCCACAAATACATAAACTTACCTTTTACTTTTGAACCAAGACATTGTATCTTCAAATAATTAAAGCTAAGAAATGGGCCGGGGTGGGGGGGTGGGGCAGGGAAGCTATATCCAGTAGATTTTAAGAGCAGAACGTTCAAAGGATTTCGGCCAAACACACTCACCACGGCCAGTGAACCCGACAGGAGGCACCTCCGGTCAGCTCAGCGCGGGCTTGATTTCCGACTCATGATCTCTCCCTGTCGTTTATCCTTTTCATTCCCCGACAGGCCCCGTCATTCTCGGCTTCCTGGTTGCCATGGTTGTCGTTCTGAACTCGGTTCACAGCTACTTCCCGGCCCAGCACGTGTCCCGAAACCCGGCCCTGGAGGCCTTCCTGGCCCAGTTCGGTCAGCTGAAGGAAGCGTTTCCGGGCCAAAGTTCCTTCATGTGGCAGCGGGGCCGGAAGTTCCTCCAGAAGCACCTCAACGCCTCCAACCCCACCGAGCCGGCCACCATCATCTTCACGGCAGCTCGGGAGGGAAGAGAGACCCTGAAGTGCCTCAGCCATCGCGTCGCCGACGCCTACACCTCCTCCCAGAAAGTCTCCGCCATCCAGATCGACGGGGCCGGGCGGACCTCGGAGGATAGCGACACGGTCAAGCTGCTGGTTGACATGGAGCTGAGCTCTGGCTTCGAGAACGGCCAGAAGGCCGCCGTGGTGCACCGCTTCGAGTCCCTTCCCGCGGGCTCCACCCTCATCTTCTACAAGTACTGCGACCACGAGAACGCCGCCTTCAAGGATGTGGCCCTGGTGCTGACGGTTCTCCTCGAGGACGAGACGTTAGAAGCGAGTGTCGGCCCGAGGGAAACGGAAGAAAAAGTGAGAGATCTTCTCTGGGCGCGGTTCACCAACTCGAACACGCCCCACTCCTTCAACCACATGGACTCGGACAAGCTGAGCGGGCTGTGGAGCCGCATCTCCCACCTGGTGCTGCCGGTGCAACCGGTGAAGCGCATAGAGGAGCAGGGCTGCCAGCTGTGAGCCCAGTGCGCCTGCGCGCGAGGCCGTGGGAGCCTCAGGGGCGGGCGCGAGGACGCCGCCTGAAAAGTGCAGGGGAGCTGTTTGGAGGGAAAATAATCTTTTATTTTTCACTTCTTGCAGTTCTTACAAGCTAAGCATGGCCAAGCTAAAAGCTGACCTGACTTTGTTTCCTTGCCTTTCAAGCAAATCGGGTTTGAAATATAGCATGATATATATAACTGCGGGTTTTTTTAATCTAAAAATACAGCAGCAGAATTATTGCACAGGAAAACAATCTTGGCAGAGTAACTACAGAGTGATTTTTGTATCATATGTGAAATGTTTCAAAAGCTAATTTTAATAGCCTGGTGGTGGGATTACATTTTATACTAATTTGCACTTTTTGAACAGTATGAAAAAAGGGAATTTGTATTCAAATAGCTAAATGCTTTATGTAAGTCACTGTGCTTTTTTTTTTTCTGTTAGTGAGCTGAGATAAAAGCAGCTGTACTCAAAAAGTGTGTTTTTTTCATGGGAAATGGTGGGGGATTGTTTATAATCACTGGGAATGAAGGAATTTTAATTGGCTGCACCTTTACCTCAGCTCTTCTGAATTGTACAGGGCAGTGATTTTCACGCTGTGTCTACTGTTCCACCCAGACCCCCGACCCCTTTGTATTAAAACAGTGCTTCAGCTCTTTCATGGGGATTCTTTATAAGATTCTGTGGGAACAGAGAGTTCCGCTGATAGTGGAGTTTGAAAACCCCTGATTGAGCAAGAAACAATCTTAGAAGACAGGAAATGGGTAGAAAAAATGAATGTATTAAAATTATGAGTAGGAAGAAGATACGATATACATTTATTGCACAGACACATTTTTTATAGAAGTCAAAGACCTACAGATGAACAGCAGAATGTTTAAAGTAGTATCTACTAGCATATTTCTGATGCTTTTCTTAATTTCTGTTGGTCATCAGTTCTCTCTCCCCTGAATGGAATTTTATAATGGTCTAGAATGAGAGTGTGAGTGTCCTTTAAGAGGAAAAAAATTTAATAACCAAATGAATAGTAAAATTTACATAGGTACATTAGCATGCCTTTACCACAGTTTACTTGTTAAGCAGTAATAGAACATTATATAATGCACCTCATTTATTTATCTGCTAGTTAGAAGTACCATTCAGTTAAGAATTAAAGAAATGCAAGAGACATATGCTTAGTGAAAGAAAGCAAAAATGGTAGATAATTTCCAAGAGGGTCTAATGGTCAATATTAATTGTTGGACCTATGTTCTGTGACTATTAGAAAGATTGAGACAGCGTTTACAAAGATAGTAGATTTTCTTGTTTGTTTAAATTTCAGCTCTGAAAGCAGAACTCTAGGAAATGATCTTGACCTAATGAAGGGTCTGTCCCATTACATGGCAGTCCTGGAAACTACCACCATGCTCCTGGGCCATTTCAACTACTCCTGGAATGTTTCAGCTAGGTTTTGGCCTCCCTGCTGGTATGAGAGCAGAGAGGTCATATGATTAAAGAATGCAAGGAATTTTGGAAACGGTAAGAAGATATTGGTATCTTTATTGAAGAATCTATTTGAAAATATCTGTTGCAGGAAAAACAGATAAATCTTCTAACCAAAGTAGAGACATACCTAAAGGAACTACTTTCATTTGGGATTTTTATGAAGGAACCTTCTAACAGAGTTGAGGAAAGGCCTACCTGAATAAAAAGTTAAAGCATGGTGAATAGAATATCAATCCAACATACACTGAGAGGAAATAAACTGAAGAAAGATCTGTATACCATAGTCGAATCTTTTCCTGCATTTCTAGATCTCAGATGCTAGCATTATACCCAAACCAATGGTGCCTTGCAAAACTGCTTCGTGGGCCAGCTGCCCTGGCTGCCTCAGATCTCGAAGGAACCCTGTGATCTGTGTGTGTCTAATGTCAGTGATTCAGGTCAGAGTTGAAACAAAGGCTCTTGTGTCTTCATTCAGTTGAACATGGTGTTTCATTATTTCCTTTAAATACAATTTAGAAAAGGAAATTTCAAAAAATTACAACTTTTTTACTGTTCAGTCTTTGTTAAAAAAAAAACCTGTTCCATGGATGAGGGCAGTCATCTGAAACTTGTCAGTTCTCTCTCGACTACTTCAGAAATCACTGAAAAGAAGCAGTATATTATTAGCTCTGGGTCTTCTTAGGAAAAATTATTATTTTTAAAGCATAAAACTTTATATTCTTAAAGGAACAAATAAAATGCATATCTAATAGACTCTTAGGTTAATTTCTACTTGATTGTTTCTATTTTCACATTTTTCAAGTTTCCAGATTTTCTTTTGTGTGTCCAATAGTTCATCTTTCATTCCTATAATAGATGTTTTGTTTTATTTGACTTTAGAACAAAAACTTGTGGGCACGTGACACCCAGACACCACCATTTAGTTACTATCGCAGAATAGCTCTCATCACATCATGTATTAACATAAACACTTTTTGACTGACACCAGCATCCTAGAAGCAACTGGTGGAATGGGAAATTGTCTCTGGACTTGAGTTTTGCTCCTGTGGGATAAATTTTAGGTTTCCCAGCTAGTCTCTAAGGGTTGGCAAAGAAGTTCCAGGGGATTCATATCACTAGAGGTAGTAATGATATTGTTTCTATTTTTTTAAATCAAATAGTTTGAGTGAATTTCATTTGAAAGCCTCCCAGCTTACAGTGGTAAAGCTCAGCATTCTGTGATCTCTACCCCTACCCAGCTAAGGACCCCTGTGAACAGTGCTAGATGCTGAGCTGGTTTTGACCTTTTCACAATTTTTAATTGCTTGAATTATACTTTTATCTGTTAAAGGCAGGTGGCATAATGAGCACTGACAATAACAAATATAACACATGAATGTGATGATTCAGCAATGTGATCTTCACCAGAACTATATGGGCACGTCTCCAACCAAAATGTTTACTCGGCATATACAGGCATCTAGGACTTCAAAAATGAATGTTGAACAGAAAATGTAATTTTTGTATCTGATTAGGGTTATCATTTAATGGGAATGATTTTATATTTATGTAGCTTATTTGTGAAGAAGTACTTTCAAATAGCAACATGAAAACTTTTTGTCATTTGAAAATAAAACAATTAAAAAAATAAGCCAGTACGTATTTGTAAAGTGCTCAATATATTATTTCATAAAAGCAGTTTTTAAATCTGTTTTTCAAGTCAAATATGTAGTTAATATCAGTGTTCATTTTAATATTTTGTTTGCCAGTCTGAGCATACTATATTTTATTTTTTAATTTGAAAAGTCATAGTGATTTTGTTTTCAAAATTAAAGCACCTTCAACACTGTGTACCACTGCTCATACTTGTCTTTATATAAGAATTTAGGATATCATTGATTACCAATCCCTTAATCACAACCCAAGGAAATACAAAATGTTTATTTAAATTTTTTTCTCAAGGTTTCTATGAGATGATCACATACTGAGCCTTAAGAGTCACACACTTGTGAATAATGACAAATTTGCAGAAAAGGTGTTACCAATTCTAGAGAGAACTAAACTAAAATATCCGTGTAAAACAGTTTCTCCAGAGGACTTTAAAATACGCCTTCTTCCTATTTATTGGCAGTTTTGGTGTTAAGTTGTGGCCTAAGTGTGCCTCACTGAGACTGAGACCGGACTATTAAAACTCATTTCTAACTAATAAACTGCCCTATCACAGCTTGCTTCTCTACCTGGCTTTAAAAATGTATGTGTAGGTTAAGAAAGAGCACTGGCCTTACCCAAATGGCCTGAGAATACAAGCAGCATCCCCTAACCTGCAAATAATCTGTAAAGATAAATGAGTCTTCAGTGCCTTCCCTTCCAGTATTACCCATGGTCTCTATCAGCTTGTTTCGATGTCTTTAAAAATCCAGAGATTGGTTCCTGCCATGGGAAATGATTCCCCTCGTTTCCTCATCGGGGCTCATAAACGAAATTTGCCCTTAGCTAAGAGCACTTACCTGAATTAAAAGGACCATTTTGGACTCAGGAGCACCGCCGTCGTGGTGGGGCAGAGTGGCAGGATGTAAGGCCCGGCCTGCCTTCCCTTGAGCCCCAGCCTCATCAGCAGGAAGCTAGTCACAGCGGCTCCCAGTTGATCAGGTTACTCGAGGTGCAGATCTGTTCGCCATCCCTGCCATCAGAGAAAGAAGCAGCACACTGACTTTGAAACACAGCTGCCATTTTTATTTTCTGTTTAACAAAAAAGTGGACTTTTGCCAGTATTTGGGTCCAAGTTCTTGGCATTCTCGGACGTCCAATGGGGTTGCTTTTGCATCTGTTTCTTAGGGATGTTGAAGAATGTGCCTTATTCAAAGCAGTTGTTTGGTTTTACCAAAAATAAATCTTGATTTTTCTCTGTTGACTGATTCTTTGTTCTATTTCCAAAAATGGCGAGTTTATAGAGATGGGCCTGTGGTCATCTATGGTGGGAAAAACTGCTCTCGTTTGGCAGATTCAGGAGCCAGGAATGCTGTGTGTGTAGGTCAGGTGGCCTCGGGGCCCTAATTAACAGCATACAGTGCAGATGCTGAGCCTAGAAGCTGCTGTTCTTTGGGCTGCGCATTCTTTGGGTGCTAGTCCTACTTCATGAGGCTTTTTGGGTAAGAGGGAGAGTGGGGTTGTAAGAAGAGGCTTGGGAACTGCTCCTAACCTGGGGTGTGCTGATAGAAAATGTGTTCTTAAATGTGGTTGTTGCTCATTGGTGCATTGGGGGTGGGGGAGTCCAGCGCGTGTCAACAGTTTCTGCCTTAGAGTGTTGTCAAACAAGAATCCAAGCAGCAGCACCCGAACAGGAGTCTCAGCCTCTTACCCCTTCCCTTGGCTTTCCGTCCCTGCTAGTCTCTCCTCAACTCAACACAGAAAATTGATTGGTATAGTTCATTAGAGTAGTTTTCTATCAGATCTGAATTCAATTTTGGAAATCTGATTTTTTTTTTTTTTTAGTTTAGAAAAATAGGAATTCTCAGGAGCTTGCATGTCTTAAAACATGAGCTTTCAGTGGAATAGGCTCAAGTCCAAGGATAAGAGGAGCCTGAGAACGAAGAACAAAGGATTTTCCCAAAGGATTTTCCAAGCACTCACCTCAGGTTGCAGCAGCAGCTGCCGCCTCCTTTCTCTGTAGGTGGGCTGACTGCAAACTATGCAGAGAGCACTGTGCGGGGGGCTGGAAGGGGGCAGCAATGAAACCACCCTCCACGGACAGCCTGTGTACCCTGGAAGATAAGGGGTACACCAAATACCAGTGTTCCACCCTCCACAGAGGGGCAGAAAGGGAGTGGCGCCTTCTAGGGGTGGCCCAGGAGTAAGTCACTAAATCACAGAAAAGGTTTGAAGAACATGTCAGGTTTGGGTTGAAGCTTGGAGTGTAGGGTTAGAGTTGTAAATGAAAAGTCATTGGGGGGGGGTGAGCAGGACTGGGAAAATTCCTGGTTTGTTTTTTTACTTCTTTTTCTTTGCAGGGGCAGGCATGGACCCTTTCTGGATACCTGATGCACATGCATTCACACTCAAATCCTGCAGTCTGAGCTCGCAGACCCCGTGCGTGTTGGAACATCTGTTTGGTTGAAGTTCCTGTGCCCAATCTGGGTTGCAGCTGGTCGGCTCTCCTTCCCCTTTCCCTCCCCCTTCCTCCTCTCCAGCCAGTGCTCCCTCACTGTGGCAGCTGGGGGACCGTGCGGGGACAGGTGGCTGCCCCGTGGAGCATGCCCAGTGCAGTGAGGTCCACTGCGGAGATGAATCCCGGGGCTGCCCTGGTGGACGGCTTCTGCCTGGGGATGCACGAGTGTCGGCCCGAGACCTCGCTTGCATCCTGTTGACTGGCAGGGCCCCCGAGTGTGCTGCCAGCTGGGGCACAAGGAGGCCTGGCCTCCACTCTGCCTGCCCAGAGGGTCTTGCTCCTCCTGGCTGGTCCAAATCCTATTCCTTTTCACCTTAAAAAATGCTGCCTGCTCAGGCCTCCCCTCACCTTTCCCTCAGAATAAGCTGCAAAGCTACATTCCAACGCTGTTATTTCTGGAGTTTACCTGAAGCCAGTTTGTGCTTAAGGCATCTCCTCGTGGGAGGAGGGAAGAGAGGACCCCCCATCACCCTACCCCCCCTATGGCAGAGCCCCCTCTTTCTGGCAGGACTGGCAGGAGCAGCCTCCCTTATAAGTTTGTTTTAATATAAAACTAAAATATAGTAGTTAAAAAGAATCCAAACGTAAGTGTTTACAGAGTTTCTGTTGGGGGTGACAAAAAAGCTTTGGAAACAGCAGTGATGTTTGCATGACATTGGGCATGTAATTCCAACTCAAAATGGTTACAATTGTAAACTTTATGTTATCCACATCTTACCATAACAAAAAATTATTACTGTCTTCTGCCTCTAGTCTTCTGCCTCAAGGGGAGAAAACCACGTCACGCTTGTGTCCCAGAGGACCCTGTGCCTGTGGGGATTCCCCGGAGGGGACCCCTGGCAGCCAGGTCCCAGCCTCAAAGCTTCAAGGACTCAAATGTGGCGGCACGTTAGGGGGGCTCGACACCCCCAGCCGGCCGCTCTGTGGCAATGCGGCGCCTCTCACAGTCCCAGGTCAGAGCAGAGGCCTCTGCGGGCGTCGTCCCGGGGCTCTGCTCCCAGGTGGACACGGGGACCCCTTGTGACCGTCAGGAATGCGCCCTGTCCTCAGGCACATTTTTGGTGGAATTTAACTCAGAGAAAAATACCAATGTGAAAGTTAGACATTGAAAATAATACGACAAGGGAGACACTGAAAGGCTTTCTTTCTCCTCCCATCTCATCGGCTGCCCACTTCCTCCCAGGAGGAAACCATTTTTTGTCAGTTTTTTTGTGTATTCTTCCAACGTCTGTCTCAGGCATATTTTATATGACCACTTTTCCCCTAATTAAAATTCTCAATTCTTAATTTTTCTCCTTTAGGTTCCTTCTCACTCATTGTCACCAGCTCATGACTCCCCATGAGATGGGGTCCTGGTGGCTGGGTGCGGGGAGGGAGGCAAAGGCAAAGGAGGGAAGGGTGAGGGGCTGGTGAGACCCTCAGGACACAGGGGTCTGGGGTTCGGAGTCTCCTGATCACTCTGGACCCCTTTGGTCAGGGACTGTGTTTGGAGAAAGAATTCAGAGGACGCTATCAGGAGGGTCAGGCCTCTGCTTTCATTTTGGGAGGTTGAATTAGACCCAGAACACACCCCCTCTCAGGGCAGCGGTGCTTCATGCGATTCCCAAAGGTAGGAAACCTCTGGCCCAAGGCAACACCCAGCCCAGGAGGATCCATTGGTATTAGCGTGGGGTGGGGTGGAGTCAGCACCTGGCTTGTACCTGCAGCAACCAGCACTGAAGCCACGTGTTCCTCCTGGTGACCAGGTGTCTGTGGCCAGGGCCGATGAGCCTGTGATCTTCCGAGGAGACCTGGAGGGAAGGTGATGGATGCCCAGCGTGAGTCAGCCACCAAGCCTTTGGACGCTGACACTTGTGAAGTCCCAGATGGTCCTGCCCACTGGGTGGAGCAGGCCTAGGACCCTCGGGGAGAGAGGGCTGCATCACCTACGCCCCAACTGCCAGCTGTGCCTGGGGTCCCTTGCTGGCAGCGTGTGTGTGTGTGTGTGTGTGTGTGTGTGTGGCGGGGAAAGTCGATGACAGGAGAGACAGGAAGTGTGGGGACTGCATGCTCCCCTTGGGGCCTGGGCGAGTCTTCCCTGAGGGACCAGCCACCCTTGGGGAAGGACCTCGTGGGGAAGTAGCTTACCTGAGACTGTGGGGGGCGGCCCCCTGGAGAGAGGGGTGTGCTGGACTGCTGAACCCAGGCCGCCTGCTGCCCAGCCAGCTGTAGGCAGGGCTCCCGGTGGCCCCGAGGTGGAGAGAGAGCATCTCTCTCTCTCTCTCTTTCTCATACACACTCCCCGGCACCCACACAGATCCACGCTGCCCCTCCCCCTCTGCCACTCCCCCTCACTCTCCACACAAAGCTGACTCCTGGTTCCCGGTCCTCACCCACTGCTCCTGCTCCTGTGGTCTCTGCCGGGGTCAGGGCTGAGGATCTGGTCCCCAAAGTCTCTTCCCTCCCTTCCCACATGCAGGGGCTGGTCATGTGACACTCTGGGTCTCCTCGGACGGGGTGACTGAACCCAGAGCTACAGGTGGGGACACCAGAGGCCTGAACAGCGAAGGTGGAGTGGGGGCAGGAGGGGCTGATGCCTGGGTTGCTCCCCCGAGAGGCGCCCCATCGTCGGCAGGGCCACTGCCACCTCCGGGAGCCCTTTCCCACGAACCACACATCTTCCCTGGGTGGGAGCTCAGACCCAGGCAATGGGGGCAGGGAGAGCAGCTGACAATGTGGTGGAGGGGATCGGTTGGTGTGGACACAGGAAGGGAGAGGAGGCTGGTAGACAACTTTGGTGTTGAAAATGGATATTCTGGGTGATGAAAAAGAGTTTCCATGCTTCAATCCGTGCCCAGTTGCCCACCCCAGGTGACGAACGAAAGACTGTGGGATTTCTATTTCAAACTCATTTATTGACATCAACTTGGTTGTGACTCCCAGTTATCAAAGATGCAGGAGGAGAAATCCGCGGCAGGAGCAGTGGAGGGCTGGCGGGGAGGGTGGGCTGGGAACGGCCTCGCTCTTCCCACGGAGGGTGCAGTTCGTAAAGTGTCCAGTGTCCCATGGCTAGAAAGGGCCTCACAGGTGAGTGAGGTGAGCCGGCTCTTGCACAGGTGCGGCCCTTGAGGCTCTAGGGAGGGTGATGGGCGATCTCAAGCCTGGGCCCCGAGCGACACGGGCCTGTGTGCGGGAGAGCCTGGGCCCACCAGCTCTCCACCGCCCTGGACAGATTTTCATGTGTGGGTAGATGCGGTGCTAGGCTGGGAAGGGTAAGCAGCCAGGGCCCAGCAAGATGCTTTTCACGTAGGGACCCCCAAGAGATCAGGGGTGAGAAGCAGATGACTTGACCAGGCTGTCTTGATTTCTGCAAAGGCAAGAGGTACCTTGACACTGTGGTTTTGGGGGAAGGAGGGACAGCCCTCGCTGGAGGTGACTCGGGGCGGGTCGCCAGGAAGCGGTGGCGAGGGCTGCTGGGGTGCACTCGGCCCAGTCAGGACAGGCTGTGGCAGGGGTATGTCAGAGCTGCTGTCCTTAGCTGGTCCCTCTGGACTCGGGGACAGGTCTCATTACCTCCACCTGGAGCTGCCTCCTGGTATAAGAGAAATGCTACTGTTTGAGGTCACCCACAGGAGAGTCAGACAAACGTGTGCTTTTCACGGACAGTTAAAATGGTTTTTTGCCTGCTAATCCTGTGTGTGCTAATCCTGTCCTTCATCCCCCAGCACGCACGCCTGTACCCAGGGTTGTGCAGTTGGCGAGAGCACAGGGCCAGGGCACGAGAGCACATCCTGGCAGTCCAGCTAACCCTGGCTTCCTGGCGCACTCACGGTCCCTCGGAGTCCATCAGGCCAGCTCTCGGTTTCCTGGGGAAAATGGGGTCTCAGAGAAGATAAGACTGGTCTGAGAGCTGATGACCCAAGTGTGACCAGACAGGTCCTTGGAGTCTCAACCCAGTGCGCCTTCATTACAGACTGAGCTGCAGGGTGACAGGAGCCTGAGCGGAGTGCTGTGGAGGTGTGGTGGGTTCTCTTCCCCCTGCCCCGACTGCACCCTGCTCTTTCTCAGATGCGAAACGGAGATTTCAGCAGAGGGGCCAGCTGCTGACCCACCCTGCCCTCTGCAGTGTTCAGTGACTCAGGAGTGGGTAGGGGGTTGTTATGCCTTTTAGAGGGGGTGCTGCCACCCCTTACTGCACAGGCAACTGGAAAACTCATCGGATGCATTCACATCGGAGGCATAAGGCCATGGCCAAGCTATCAGTGGGAAGAGGGAGCTGGACTTGGGGCTCGGAAGGGACAGAGATGAGCAGGCCCTCACTGGGAGATGGAGGGGGGTGAGCAGGGGGCCACTGAGAGTTGAGAGGGGGCAGCAAGCTGAATCCAATTGCTAAGTCAGATCCCTCTTGTCCTCAGGAGGGAGGACAGCTGTCCCTGGTGGGAGGGGTGGTCTGGCTCTCCTGTGTCATGGCCCATCCAGTACCTGCTGCGGGGGTCGGTCCCTCAATCACCTTTTGCCCTTGCTGCCTGGGGGTCAGATTGCTCTTTCTAGTCGCTACATCCGAGACCCTCCCTCTCTGCGGTTCCCAAAGGCAGCAAAGCCTGTGTGCGGGTGGTGACAGGTGTGTGTGCGCACACCTGAGAATGCACACGCCCCCACAGGATTGAAGCCACGCGTGTTGCTTGGTGTGGGGGACCGCGGCCCTGGAGGCCGTCAGCAGGACCTCACGAAGCTACTTGAACCCTGGCAACATAACGTGGAAAAGGTTCTCAGCTAGGCAGCTGGTTCCCACAGCAAAGCAAGGGTCCGTGGGGAGACAGGGTCAGGCAGCCACTTTTTGGTGCATTCCCTGCAGTCACCTTATGCTTTTAAAGCCAACTCAGCACATGCCACAAAGAAAGGGGCAGAGCTGTGATGGACTCAGGAATCCACATGTGTGTCTGAGCAGCTACGGGGCTGTGTGGTCTCCATGACAACCAAAAAACACAAAACGAGATTGTAAATTGGCTTTGGGTTCGTGTTAGCAAGGAAGTCCTGGAGGGGTCCCCTTAGCTCTCCTCTTCCTTCTCAAATTCTGTGGCATCCTAGTTGTCCCCTGTCCCCCTTTCTTTCACCCCCCAAGGACTCTGGGGGCCTCCAGACCTCTGCAGAGCCTCCGTTCTTCTCGCAGTCTGGTGAAGCTGGGGCAGTGAGGGAAGCGGGGTGTGAGCTGGCCGGAGGAAAGTCCCACCAGAGAAACAGCAAAGCTGCCAGCTCAACCTGTCAGTCCGCCTCTGGGCCAGGGGACCAGGCCCTGCCCTGGCTGTCAATGCACGTGATGGCTTCAGTCCCGTTGAGCCTTCCTGCGCAGGAGACAGTCCTTGTGGCATGCTGGAGGGGTGGGCCGCTCACCCCAGGCCTCCGGCTGGGGTCTCAGTGATGGTAGGCGTTGGGGACGGTGGCGGGGAGAGGGTCACACGTCTGTACTAATAGCCCTTGGATTGGTGAAGGCCTCACGCCCAGAGCAGGGCCACGTCACCGGGTAACTCTGGGGTGCTGCCAGTTGGAGAGACGAGGGGCCCCCCTCCTTGTAGTACGTGGGAGCGAAGGACAGCCTCTCGCCTCCGCCCCCGTTGGGCACCATGTCGGCCGTCTGTATGTAAAAAGGGGAGCTGTATGGGGAGCAAGTGGCACAATGGCGGGCTGCCACGCCGCATGGCTGGCTGCAGGGCTCGCTGGTGAGAGGCGCCAGGCCGCCTCTGCCGTCCAGGACTTGGGAGCTGCAGGCATTGCAGGGGGGCGCCCCAGGGGAGGTGGGCCGGTCGTGGTCCTCCTCCTCATCTGCATCCTCCTCTCTGCTCTTCTTGCAGCAGTAATACTGGGGGGAGAGTGCGGAGGGCCCCCTTTGAGTGGCACCGCACTGCACCGCTGCTCCCCCCGCCCCCCCTTGAGCAAACTCAGCACCAGAGGCCACGCCCCACGAGTATGGATTCCCACCCTCGCAAGACTTTCCCTCTTTCTTCCCCTACTTCCCAGTGTACTGCTTGGTGGTGGCTGGGTGAGGCAAGGGGGCAGGGAAGGAGGGAGGGAGGGTCAGACAACCATACTGAGCACAGGGCTGGGGTGAGGGGCAGCCGGGAGCAGCTTTCGCCGTCTCCCCAGAGTGGCGCCCTTCCCAGCACTCCTGAAATCTCAGCCTCGCCGGAGACACAGCACTGCGAGTTCTCTTTGGGTGCCCTGAGTGTGCCCTGTGGGGCCTGCAGAGCTCCCTTTGGACTGCCCCCCACCCCAGCACCCTTGATCGAAACCTCCCCCATTCCCTGGCTTTGGGCCGAAGTGGCCTGCAGTGTCCGTCCCCACAGGGGGGACAACGTTTGCTGGTGGCTGCTGGCCGCGGCCCGGGACTGACCTGGAGCCTACAGTAGCACAGGACAGCGATGATGCAGAGGAGGATGACCGCAGCCAGGATTCCGCCCGTGATCACAACCGTTCCCGCTGTCATCCGCCCGACGCCCCATCCAACTCTGCCGAGAGATGCGGGGATTAGGTTGGGGCCGGAGGCCCTTCTGGAGCTCTTCCCGCGGCTGGAGGTTTGGAGGGTCCCGGGCACTGGGACACCAGGGGGTGGCTGTGTCCAGGGCCAGCCTCCTGCAGGGGCTCATGGCGCAGAGAGCATGGAGAGGAGGCAGGGTGCTAAGTGAAGGCGTAACGCTGCTTTTCTGTTTCTGCCCAGCTTCAAGGGCTTTCGCTATCTTTCTCCTTTAATTATCTTCTCCTTTGCTTGTCCCCTCTCCTCACACCCTGCTTAAATTGTACCCCTTCCACCACCCAAGGCTCTAAGACACAAAGAAAAATGGCTTCCGCTGGTGGCTGGCTTAGTCTGTGAGGCTGAGCCCTAAGCAAGCCCCTGGTTATCTCAGTTAATCCTCTGAAAACCCCTGGGCTGGTTCTTAATCACCCCCATTTTGCACGAGCTGAATGAGCCTCTGATTGATTTGGCTGAGATCCCACCCAGCCTGGTTCACCCCAATGCTGCACTCTCGATCACTGCCCTCCAGAATGCAAACGCCAGGGTCCCTGACCTTGACCCAGGTAAGGGGACACAGTCTGAATCTCAAAAGTTTTGCCTAATTCTGTCCCGGCTCAAACCCACATTCCTTTGGGGGCAGGGGTGGGGTCTCTCCTCTCTTTCCAACTCTCATGGAAAATGGGGGCCAGGTGAGCCCAGAGGAAGCAGGAAGGTGGAAGGAAGCAGGAAGGTGGCCGTCTGGCTCCAGGAAGGCTGCGGTGGGTCTGGGGAGCCATGTCCTGGCTAATGTGGGCTCATGGGACAGAGGACAGCTCTGGGTGTAAGGCAGCCTGGCCTCAGGCCGACTCCCTTTGTGGGCTACTGAATGGGCTCTCTCAGTGGCCCAGGCTCATGGGGACCAGGGATGGTGGTACCAAGAGAGCAGCAGGGTGGGAGGAGCCTTGGCATCTTGAGGATGGAAGAAAGATTGTGAGCACTTACATTCAGTAGGGAAATGGTGACTTGCAAGACAACAGAAGGGGCAGAGACGCTGGGAGAAGGGTGTTACCCCTGAAAAAGGCCCCACGTGTTCAATGGGTCCCTGAGCTCCACCTCACCTCATTGTGCTCCCCTCACTGTGTGCTTCATCACACAGTGATGGCAATAAGTAGGCAATGAGCCTACAAGTCCCTGAGCTGGGGCTCTGGCTCTGTCTCTGGCTGCTAGTGGGCAGACAGGCAGCTTGAACTCAGGCAAAGTCTTCGGCTGCACTGCACACAGGCTCCCTCACCTCCAGCCTCTGTTAGTGGTTCCGTCTGAGCCACTGTGAAGGGCTTTGCAGGCTGTTCATTACTTAAAGGGCAAGTGGGCGCAGGACCACGAGCTGCACTCTGCTCACAGAGCCACACACCCTGCTGTGTTTGCCTGGCAGAAGGGGCACCTTTCTCTGCACCCAAAGACACCGTCTGCTCCTCACCGTGAGTCCTAGAGCACAGCACGCACCCGGCTCTGCTTCTAATGCACTCGACCTGCTCACAGAGCAGGCTTCACACCCCAGCCCGGGCAGCCCCCGGGGGTGGGTTAGAAATGCAGCATCTCGGGCCCCTGCCACAGGCCTAAGGAGTCAGAATCTGCATTTTAGCAAGGTCCCAGAGGATCAGTTTGCATAGTAGAGTCTGACAAGGCCACAGGATGTTCCCCTAACTGCCCAGGCATTCAAATCCTCAAATTCTTCTTTGGCTCCCCCCAGCCTTCTGTTCCCCACGCATCAGTGAAGACACTTTGCGTGTCATGCCTTCCCCAGTGCAATGGCTTCTGAATCGATCTCACTGGTTTGTCCCTGAGCACCACCCCCCACCCACGTTTAGCCTCTCATCGACCCCAACGCCCCTGTCTTCCCCCAGAGCCTTCCTGGTATCACACTGCCTGCAGGGCACGGACTTGTAGAGCAAACATCGAAAGCTTTGCCCCGCCCCACTCCCCTGCAGGCTCAACTCCGTCCATGCTTCCCCTCCTCACCCTCCGTCGTCCCCCCCACATGAGCCCTCTGCCCCTCAGGCAGGTCTGGTTCTCAAGGAGCTTGTAGCCTCGTGATGCAAAGACACTTAGCACACCTTAGATCTGGTGTAGGACACACAACTGGAGACACACAGACCAGTGAGGACGCTGTGCTGGAGCAGAGTCCTGATAGCTGAGCAGGAGCTTGTCCAGTGGACATGGTGGGCAGGGCAGGAGGAGGAAAGGACGTGGGGGTCCAGGACCCCTAAGGGGTTTGGAAAGGCCCAGACAGGGTGGGGGAGGGGCAAAGCTGGAGACCCTACAAGTCAGGCAAGGGGTTTAACTCTGTTGGAGATGATCGGAGCTCCGGAAGGGCTTTTAGGAGGGTCTCTCTCTCTCTTTCTCTCTCTTGGTCTCCCCCCCCCCCCCCCCCCCGCAATGCCTTTCCACGTGCCATTTTTCCAACCCTGACTTGGAAAGACGCTTGTCAACACTCACATGCGAACATCTTGACTCCTCCACTAAATTATGAGTCCTCTGGGATTAGGAGCTTTGTTTTATGCTTATCTCCCTGCTGCATTATACACAGTGCCCTGCACACAGCAGCGGGTACTTGATAAAAGTTTGCTAATCATCTCCGGGTACACTACTGCTTCCACAGGCCTGGAGGTTATGACTCTGATCCACCACCAGGGGGCAGCAAGTTGCAGCTCTCAGCTCACATCCTCTCTGCAGACTTGAGCTTCATCCTTTAAGACCAGACTTTGCCCAGGTACCTGGTGGGCCAGGCTTCAGGGGTTAGCTGAATATTTGGTGTTGGATAAAGCATGGCCTTGGGAGGATTTGTGTACCTTCACTAAAATACTACTCCATCTTCCCCTGCTCACTGATGAGAGCCCATGGAGTGACCGGTAGTGGGAGAAGCAGCAGGGTCCCACTCTGCTGGAAGTCCTGGTCTGGCCCCCCTGGGCTGTGCCCAGCCAGTTTCAGAGACAGAGAATTATGAAGCCATGTGAGAACCGTGCTCTCCCCCTTTCTGCCCTCCATGCCTGGCCTCCCCTCTTTGAGCACCTTGGAGGCTATAGAGCAGAAATAGCTTGGGAAGGGCAGGGGGTGGGGCGGGGGCGGGGCAGGGCAGGCAGTCAGGCAGTCAGGGGTCGGTCTGGAGGCCCCTTTGAGGCTCAATTACCACTTACCAGCCACCCAAGTTTGGAAACTGACCACCTTTCTCATTTGTAAGAGAGTTAACCAGAAACTGAGTTTACAGGTACGACTGTGAGTGAAAAGTGAGACTCATGCTTGCCAGGGACCCTTGTAAGCTAAAAGATCCTTCATACACAGTTATTTGAGGGGAAAAGGCAGACCCAGACATTCTATGGCTGCCTAAGTCTGGCCTTACAACCAGAAACCAAGAAGGTGCGGGTAGAGGCATGCAGCGAGCTCACCAAGCTCCTGCCCGTGTCCCTGAGGGCCCGGAGCTAAGGGCTCAATTTAGCCTTGGGATTCCCGCATCCTACATGGCTCTCCAGTATTTCACATAGGCTCATTTTCTCATTGCAATGAGATGCAAATGATAACAGTAACTCAGTGCACGTGAACATGACTCTACAGTTTACAGCATGCTTTCATCTGAACCCCCTCCTACGACGGGCCAGCTCTAAGATGGCCCCAAATGAGCCCTGGCAGTCAGGCTTGTGCACTCCCCTCCCCTCAGGGCTGGATGTGACCTGGGACCTGCGACCACCCACCAGAACACAGCGAAGGTGAGGGGATGTCACTGCTGTGAATAGGTGACAGAAGAGTCTGGCTTCTCTCTCGCTGGCCCACGTTCTCCTTTGCTGGTCTTGATGCAGCAAGTTGCCATGCTGGGGAGGCCCATGTGACACGGAACTGAAGGTGGCCTCTGTCCTTCAGTCCACGGGACAGTAGGAGTCGAGCCCTTCTATGGAATGGCCCAAAAGGAACTGTACGATCACATAAGCAAGAGTGGCCGTGGATTCTTCCCCAGTGGAGCTTTCAAGTGCAAATGCAAGCCCAGGGGACACCCTGAATGCAGCCCCATGTCAGACCCTGGACCGGTGGACCCCGCTGGCCACGCCTGGTGTCCTGGCCCACAGGGACTATGAGACCATCAGTGTATACCATTTTAAGCTGCTCGGTTTGTGGTGGTTTGTTATGCAGCTAAAGAGAACTAACACCTTCTTTGTACTGTACAAAAACCCCACACACGGGGTGGGGGAAGCCTGACCACTAAGTGGTTTGCCTGGTGCCACACAGCAAGAGTCTGAGTGAGGACCCAGGGCCCAGTGCCGTGGGGTTTCTGCCACAGCAGCCTCCTCCTGAGTAGCTCCCCAAGGACAGAAGAGGCCCCGTGTGCCCTCCCACAGCCAAGCAGGCCTGGGCAGAGTGGATTCAGTGGTGGCCAACTCATGGACTGATGATAGCCAAAAAGGACAAACCCGCTGCCAACTAAGCACTCCCAGGGCCTGCCCTCTGTGACCAGGACTCTCTGGAGCTCCCTCCCCACCCACACCCCTCACCTTCTTTGGCGGGTAGAGGGGTTGGCCTGAGCCTCACATTACTTACGTGAAACAGCTGGGCCAGCAATGACTCAGTCACACAGGCCGAGCCTGAGCAGACAGCAGTTGGGGGTGCGTCATGGCCAAGGGCATCAGTCCCTGCTGGAAAAGAGAGGGGGAGTTCAGAGAGAGCTGGAGGAGAGGCTGAGAGGACAGACAGGCTCACGTTGGCACCAGGTGGTGACCCCAAGCCTCTGGAGCAGACGCCCCCAAAAGGGCTTCCTTCTTGACCTCCACAGCTGCCAGGGTTTCTGAGGTCCCCTGCCTAGGAACCCCAGGACAGACTCTAGGCCACCACCTGTCTCATCCTGTTCCCTTCTCTCAGTGCCACTGTGCAGAGCCCTCTGCCCAGAGCAGCAGCAGGGCGCTGGGCAAGAGCTGCTGTCTGTTCCGGGAAGGGAGCCGCTGCCTCTCTCATGCGCCACTGGAGAATTCTGACCCTTCCCCCGAGACTGAGATGTGCCTGCATGGCTGACACCTCTCTCGGTGGCCCCGCCCCCCCTTCCCACTCCCTTCCCTGCTCTCCCTGGGCCTGTCCATTCCCAGTGCCCCGAGCTGCATGCTCCTTCCCCTTTCCCCCACATCCCAACTCCCCTCAGGCCAGCAAGGCCACTGGACGGTGGTCAAACAAGTTTGACAAGATCATTATGAAATGGCAAGATCATCCTGATGACCTGCTCCTGGCGATGGGGAGGCAGGACCCAACCGAAACATGTAGAAGCCCAGTGTGGGCTAGTTAGTGGGGGTCCCTTCAGACCAAAATCCTTTAAATATGCACTCAGCATTATTGAGGGGGTGTGAGCCTCACACTGGGACTGGGGAGTGGGGAACAGAGGGACACCCTCTGGCGTTGATGCCCCCTCTGCTCATCGTCCTGAGGAAGGCGGGCCCCGCTGGGCATGTGTCTGATCAGGGAAGGAGCCCAACCATAAACAGGACCGGCAAAGGCACCTTCTGTGGGGACAGAGCTGAGGACAGACAGTAGCCTGCTCCAAGGACTGGTGGCCCTGTGAGTTGAGCAGGTCTGAGGAGCAGTGCCTTTGTCTCCCAAATTTTTCAACACACCCATGAGGGGTCATCCATGAGATGTTCACCATTGTGTTTACAGGGGCGGGCAGGGCATTGAAAGCAAGCTCAGTGACCCTCACTGGTGGGAGAGGAGGCAAAACCAGGGAGGTGCACACCTGGGAGAAGAACACAACTGTCGAAAGCAAGGAACCAGTGACACACAGCAGCAAGCACAGCCTTAGCACAGTGCTAAGTGACAAAGATAAAAACAAACGGCAACAACAACAAAATAGAATGAGAGGTGTAATACTGCTTCCATAAACTTGAGATATAAGCATACAGCCCTGGTTGGTGTAGCTCAGTGGATTGAGTGCAGGCTGACAACCAAGGGGTGGCTGGTTCAATTCCCAGTCAGAGCACATGCCTGGGTGGCAAGCCAGGTCCCCAGTAGAGGGCGTACAAGAGGCAGCCACACACTGATGTTTCTCTCCTCTTTCTCCCTCTCTTCCCCTCTCTCTAAAAATAAATAAATAAAATCTTAAAAAATATATAAGATACAGATCAATTCATATTTTCAAGAACACATACCAAAATCAAACAAAACCCCAAACTCACAGGCACAGAGAATTGATTTTTGGTTGCCAGAGGCAGGGCGTGGGGGGTGGGAGAAATAAGTGAAGGGAGACTGAAGTTACAAACGTTCATGTATAGATAAGTCATGGGGAAGTAATGTATATGAGGGGAGGACTGAAAAGACCCCAAATGTATTTATAAAAAATTGTGTATTTATTCTTACATGTTTAAACTTCAGTCACCTACAAAGTACTCTCCATTTAATGCAATACACCTATTGGGACATTTTTTCCACCACTCAAAACAGTCCTTGAACTCATCTATTTTGATGCATTTTAGTTCTTCCACTGTTTTCTGTTTCACCTCTTCCACATCAGAAAAACATTTCCCTTCGAGGACTTTTTTTATCCAGGGGAACAAAAAAACAAAGTCACTCGGGGCAAGATCAAGTGGATAGGGAGGGCAGGGAGTGGTGGGTCATGTCATTTTTGGCCAAAAACTGCTGAAAATTCAGCATGGTGTGGGCACGTGTACTCATAAATCACCCATCATGAAATAGGCAGACATGTTGAAAGAGCCTTCAAAAAAATTCACTGAAGCCAAAGGCAGCCTCTCACAACAATGCCAGCTGGCACACTGATGCAGATGGGTTCCTAGAACCCTCATCTAGCAGGGGAAGCCTGTACTACAACCGGCCCGCCCTCTGGAAGGTTATTCCTATTTTGGGGGTCCCCCTCATAACATGATAACCACAGTTATAGCATAGCATAGCATAACACAGTTAATAATACTGTATTATATATTTGAAAGTTGCTAAGAGGGATCTTGAAAGTTCTCATCACAAGAAAAGTAAATTTTTTGTAACTATACAAGGTGCTGGATGTTAACTAGACTCACCATGGCGACCACTTCACAAAGCAGACACATAGCAAATCAACAGGTTGCACCCCTAAAACTAACATAATGTTGAGTGCCAAATGTCTCTCAATAAATAAAGCGAAACAAACACAAAGACCAAAAAGTGAGTGCGCATTAAATGTGTTAGGAAGGCTGACTATGAAAGGAGGAGAATGAGAATAAGAATGAGAATAATAGAGAAAAATAAATAAAATAAGAGAGGGGACTTGCACAGACTAATGATGAATGATCATGTGGAGCATCTGAGATGCAATGCCGAGGAGTCCAATGAACTTGACCTTATGCATCTGAGTGTGGCCACTCCACCCCGAATGCCCAGGCTCCATTCCCTGTCCCCAGGGAGTTTTTACCTCTCAGCAGGAGAGGTGCAGGAGTGGGCGTCCCCCGAGGAAGGACAGACTGCGCAAGAGGCTTGCACAGGCCCTGGAAGCAGCTCACGACTGTTTGCACAGGCCAAGCGTGTAATCTAGAAGGGAGGGCACAACCTTGCGGTCCCTGGGAGGACACGGTCTGAGTGAGGAGCCCCTGGGCAGGGCCTCTCTGTGCACATTCCAGGATGTTAAGTTCCTTGCATCTTCCCTTTCCTTGGGGCAGTCATGTTATCAAGAGATAATGTATTAACCCGGTTTAAAGACCAAAATCCTCTGTCTGGGACAAAGACATCTAGGCTGAGTGGGGGATTAGGGGGGCTTTGCTGGGCTATTTGATTTTGGGCACAGCAGCCTTAAAAGGAAGACAGACAGACAAAATAACTGGTGGGGATTCTGATTCGTTTTGTTTTCTGCTCGTTTCTCCCTGGCTGGTTGCCTACACAACATGCCTAATTTATGACTCTTCTGGGCTTTGGGGAATTTTTCTCTTGTATTCCACCTCTTTCTTCCATGTTATCTCTTCTGTCTCCTCATTCTCTGATGTTCCAAAGGCCACCATCTCCCCAGGAGAATCTGGCCCCTCAAGGGAAATGGCAGCTACAGGGGCTGGCTCTGCCTCGCCCACCCAGCTAACTCTCCCCTCACCCCGGCTCATACGTGCAGGTGGGTCAGAAGGGCTGTTTGTTGCTGGGTTACAAGTGTAGATTCTGAAGACTGTCAGCCAGACCTGAGTTGAAATACTGGCTCCACTGGGTATTAGCTTTGTAATCTTGGATAAATCACACAATCACTTTGGCCTCCATTTTCCATCTCAAACATCTCTAAAATAGAGACAATAGTAATTACATCATAGGACCAATTAGAAGGACCTAATGAGAAAATCCATAAAAAACTCTTAATGGCTCACATACAACAGTCCCTCAAAACATGTCAGTGTAGTTCATAACTACACTAACGACAGTGTAGTTACGAACACTTCCTCCCGCTATTGGTGGTGCTCCTTCTGCCCCAAGGCTTGGAACCTCGGCATTAACTTTGACACCTTTTCCTTGTCTCTTGAATGTTATTAATCATCTGTTGCTTCCTCTCTGTGTCTGCTGCCGCCATCTGTGCACCGTTATTTCCCACCATCCAAAATACGAGCTTTCAATTCAAGACAGACTGGTCTCTTTGAGGAATCCCGGCAGTCCGATGTCCTGGGTTCTAACCCAGTCTGTGCCATCTATGGGTCGTGTGACCCTGGACAGGGCTCTTCATTGCTTTTCGAGTTTGTGTTCTCATCCTGCAAAGAGTGGGTGGTAATGCTACTTCATTATCGAACGACTTGACCTTCCTCCCGAGGTGGGCGTGTGGACCGACGAGGATAATGTGCCCACACACTTTGTAAACTTAAATCCTGCAAGTTTTAAGTTCTTAGTCCTAGCAGCTCTGGCCCAGGACATCCTTGGTTGTTCCCTTTTAAGGGACACCTCGAGGCAAACTTCCTTCTGGTTGGATAACCAGATGGAGAACTGAACACTGTTCTGAAAGGGGCAGAAGGAGGAGAAAGAAGGAGGGCCGTAGAAGGGGAGAGAAAAGCTCCCCTTCCTGAGAATGCAGGTGTAGAGGGAGGGGCCAGGTATTTCCATGTCTTTCAATTGATCTGATGCCTGACCAGAGCCATCTTTGGGGTCACAGAAGGGGGTCCGGTGACAGATGTGTGCACAGGGAGAAAGCGCTGTGTCTGCAGGGACCGGAGGGTGACATGTGCTAACTGAGGAGGCTGGTTCAGAGATGGCGGAGCTCAGCAAGGGCTGAGCCCTGGACACAATGCCCAGCCAGCCGCAGACAGTGCTCCGTGCCGGCGAGCGCACCGCCCAGTAAGTGAGGCCGGCTGGAGGGCGGGGTGTGGCACTGAAAGGCAGTCCAGAGCCAGACGGCCTGCTTTGCAGGCTTCTGGAGCTCCTTCCGTTTTTTGTGACATGTCTCTTTGCAGAAGCTGCGACTCCATTGCTCAGTGTTCTCGCACAAGGCATACCCAGTGCCTGGTGTGCGCCGTTTCATTTCAGTCCGGCCAGATCCCCGCGATGGAGGTCTCGTTACTAAGACTAGAGATGGCAAAATGGAGGTTCTGAAACGTAAATTACTTGTCCAAATCCACGTAACTGGTGAGAGGCAGGGCCAGGGTCTGCAACCGCCCCCGCCTGTCCGGAAAGTCCCGCCCCCCTGGTCCCCCACACACCAAGGTTATCT